TCTGTGTGATGTGGACAAATCGCTTGTGCGTGTCGTATGCACGGGTTCGGGCGGGCGCGGGCGTAGCGAAGGTATCGAAAGGCGCGGCGCGCGGCGGCGCGGCGGCGGCGGCGGCGCGGCGGTGTATTGATCGCGCGGCCGGACCTGTTGCCGGGCGGCGGCCGCACAGCGCCGCGACGGTCGCGACAACGGCCTACATGGATTTTATGCAACGGATGCATGCCCGCATCTCATCGATCAAGGATGTTTGAAAAGCCTCTCAATAAACAGAGTGCGTATACCGATTCTGCACTCTTATAATTCAATGAACAATGTCGTTTCAGTTGTAACCGTATGTTACAAACTATTTTTTTTTTGTAAGATTGGGATGGATCAGGAAAGTCGGTCGAGGTTCAATAGTGTAATGAAATGATTTAGGTTGTTCCAAATGTAATTTATCCTTGTCTACTGACCCAGTTAGTGTTGACAGAACGTTGACGTCAGCAGCGCCCAGGACCGGCGCGAAAAAGCGTCCGAACGATAAACACTCGGTCAGAACATTTGACGTATACGTACTTAATGTTTTAATTATAAAATCATCTCACGACAGAGTTATTACCGATGCTCACTGCTATTTTTTCTTCATGCAACAACAGTCTGGAAATAAAACATATTTACGTGTTCCATTACCTATTCTGTTACATTCTGCTGGTTCAGTATATAAGCTGTTAACTATTTACTGCTCAACATAAGTCTCCCCTATAATGGGGTTTTGCCAATAGTTGCCGTGGTTAAAAGGTTGGTTGGCAACCGCAGTTCGACTATTGGTAATGTTTTAAGACGGACGCTATTGCCCATCTTTCAACTAATAAGCTCCCTTTCGCCTCTACGACACCCACAGGGAAGGAAGGAGTGGCCCATTCTGTGCTGGAACCATATGGTGATATTGATGTTTTAATGGTAAAACATACAAAGATATTTAATAACTTTGTTACTAGTATTTCAAACCACTCGTTTTATAATTTTTTTTTTGTCTATATAGTCTAGATTCAATGTAACACTGTGCCTAACGCGTTCTTACAAATCGCTTTTGTTTGTTTTTGTGTCCATGTAGACAGTATTTCACTGACCGATCCTCGACTTATTAGGTGAGTTCGACAAGACTTGTTAGGTTGTGTGTTGGCGATCGTCCAAAATACGTACAACCTCCCTGACATTGAGAATGGCACGACGCCGCTCCAGCCTCTTGACTTGTTTTCGGTGCCATAATAGAGACTGAAAGCACGCTATTTTTGTGTCACCAGTTAAAGCCAATTAGGTATTAAAAAATTGGATTCGATGGTGAGTTTTCATTTGGCTGGAATTCTCGTGTTTTCAGTTCATTGTAAATTGAATTACAAATTGTTGAATTTACTTAGTTGAAAGATTAAATAAACCCATCAAAGTATGATTTGTATATTATAAGAATTTTATGAAAAGTTTATAATATGAAACCGTCAATCAATAATCAATTAATTCTATATAACTTATTGTGTTGTGAAGAACTCTTCATACGATACTTACATCCATCGTTCACCATCGCACTGCTCGCCATCGGCAGGGAATCCATCCTCGCACCTTAGAATTAAAATTGTTACGCTCAGTGCGGTTTAAGAGGAGTTTCCTCCTACGAACATTCAGGATGTGGAATGATCTTCCTGCCGAGGCTTTTCCTAGAGACTACAGCATGGGATACTTTAAAAAGGGTGTTTTAAGGTATCTTAAGGATCGGCAACGTGCGCGTTACATCCCTGATACAGGCGTCTATAGACTGCTGTAACCCAGTTTACCATCAGATGGGCTGTATTCTTGTTTTTTTTTTTTATACAACTCAGAATGGCAAACAAGCTGCGGCCCACCTGATGGAAAGTGGTAACCGTCGCCTATAGACATGAGCAGTACCAAGGACGTAACAGAGTATATTGTTTCGTCCATAATACCCCCCATGCGTTGCTATTCCTGAGGACTCAGGTGTTATTCTTCTGTACTCAGTAAATTCACGCCATAGCCCATTCACAGCCATGCAAACACAACTGCTTCATGGTTGAAACACGAATAGGACAGAGGTACCCAAGCAATCGACTTTTGTACAAAGTCTTGCTCTGGTGTTGTTGTTATCGTAGTAGTATAAAAATAAAATCACGTATGAAATTTTCTAGGAGTATTATGATTGAATGAATGTAATGAATTACTGAAAATTATATCTCTATTTGAATCTATGCCAAATTTATATACTATGACAATAAGTATTAAGCTAAACCTTGTTCATGTATAAGTTTGTAAGGACTAATTGGCAAGCGGCCAGTGGTGCTGGTGGGGCTGCTCCCGTCCCGACCTATACCGCCTGACCTTGGAATTCAACAGTTACTGACACCAATCACGCCATACGATGGTCATTTATAATTAGGAACCATTTCCAACAAAATCTTGAATTCCTAATCAATTTGGATTATCTTTACGCAAAAACAACTTTTACTGGTATTTTCATAAAATGAAAGTAGGTAATTTATCTGTTTTTACTTTAATATTATTTGAAATCACTCAATATCACTGATTGTATTGCTTTCAACATAACATACACGTAGGCAGTTAGTCATCGCATTTGTTACTGTAAAGCACAAAGCTTGCGTGCCACGCGGGCGTAGTTTTTCATTTAGCCTGATTCTGAGTTACCGGTATACCCGGCCTGCATTGGGCTTTCACACGCCGCATATTAAATATTATTTCATTATAAACCGCACTTCATACTAAATGTTCGTTTTTATTATTTATGCTTTATTTCATAGAGACTAATGTGTATTATGTGAATATGGCCTGATAAGTTTACCGTCGTTACATTTCGTGAAATTACGCAATCTAGTATCTTAGGAAATAGTCGTTGAAACGAATACAGACCGAAACTTCACGGTAATAATAGACCTGCTAATCATTCAATGTCGTTTATATTTATTATAAGTTGACTCACTGGGGATACCAGATCAAATACTTCCTGATTATTAAACAATATACCAGACTTTAGTGAATTTTCTGTTATAAACGTTATATATTATGTAGTAGAGAGTATAAGGTAGTGAGATTAAAAAAAAAACAAATTACAATTTTAAAATAATATTACTAATATTATAAATGTGAAAGTTTGTAAAGATGTTTGTATATTTGTTAGTCATGTTTAAATGATTGAATGGATTTGTATGAAAGTTGATACACGAGTACGTTATATTGTAACTTAATATAGAGGAAACTGTATACTGATTCACGCGGGCAAAGCCATGGAATAAAGTTAGTATTAAATAATTTAAGAATGATTTAATAATTGACTAATTAACTGATTGATTTAATAAATTTAATAAGTACATATGCTCAGGACCGTAATATCGGATGAAGTCGTATGCATTTGTTGTCACATTTTCGAACATGTGGGCAAAATCAAATGTGCAAAGGGACCGGCTGCTGAAGTGACTCGGAATACTTTTTTATAACAATAATGAATTAATACACATTATTTTAAATTACATAAATTACTTTAATTAAAAATCCTGATAATATTATTTCTTTGATAGATAGCTAACATTCCGAACATATTAGGAAATTCCTAGTGTTTGAAAAACGTACTCGTGATGACACGCAATTGTGGTAACTTTATGAGTTTGCTAAAAGGTGTGGTGTGAAGGGTTCCTATGGCATTCTAATATTCAAGAATCGCGTGTTGTCTACCGTGAGCCGTCAGTTTCTGAACTCGTTAATATGTATGCGGTGCCGTCGCCCTCCACTCCTGTTTGCTGGCAACTAGTAGCTAACCGGACACTAACTACAGTACCTACCTAGCGTCTACTAAAGACGTAAATTATTTAAATAAAACCTAACCGTACTTTTACCTATTATGGCTTTTTGAATTTCGAAAAATTTGTAGATTTCTTTTGACTTTTGAGACAATTTGAAAGTGTTTGCTACATTGATATGATGATATTTCTTTAATTATAAATAAGAGCATATCGTGACACTACAGTTGACCTAACCTAACTGTTTGACCTACATTCTTTTAGGAATCCAGAAGTCTTAATCTAGGTCTTGTTGAAATTATTAAATTTACAACATTTTTTGAGACATAAAATGCTTGCTACACTGATATGATGAATTTTTTTAATTATAAATACAAGTACATCTTGACACTACAGTTGACGTTATCTGCAGTGAGGCTCAGAAAAAAAAATATAGTCTCTGCGACACAAAGAAACAAAGTACAGCTCTGCAGAATATTAAATTGCGACCACGTCGTCGACGCCACGTAGGCATTTGGTATTATTATAATACGAATGTCATTGTGTTCGTTGCGTATATTATTTTGTATGCCTTTGAGTGTAAAGTTGTATGTACTCAGTCCCAAAACGTATTTTTAACAGTTGACGTTTATGGAAGAAGGATACTTAGATTATTTTTATTGTTATTCCGGCGATATAATGTTGGTCCCAAATTCTCAAATACTTTATATAAATTAAGCTTAATTTGTATGTATACCTAGGTTCGAATCAATTAGAAGAGGGTTTTGTGCAACTAACAAACTTTAAAGGTTAATGTTACAAAAGCTGCATTTTGTCATTTATAACTCTTTTCTTGAACATTATCAAACAAATTTCTAAATGATATAATGCTGGCTGATATAAAGAAACAATATAACAAACCTTGATAAGGTATTAATTTTTAATATAACAAAGTTTGCTAGCAATAATTTCTCATCGATCTTCTATATATTTATTGGCTTTATTAAAAATAAAATGGTTTGAATTATCGTCGGTTTTAGCCATTTTGTATGTCGTCCTATATTGAAATCATAAAAAACGTAATTAATTCTTAACTAATCGTTATTCGTTTGTTTGTTATCTTAAACGTATCAAATCATGAAACAAATACCTATTAGTTACTATTTCAAACCAAATCATTTCGAGTACATATTTTATTGACAGTTAATTTTAATTTGCTTTCAGTTTCCTGGACGACCTGGACCGGTTAGGTGCTAGGGATTACCAACCCACCGAACAAGATATTTTAAGAACAAGAGTCAAAACCACTGGCATTGTTGAAGTGCACTTCTCCTTCAAAAACCTTAATTTCAAGTAAGTTGACCTTTATTTTTTATTGTTTAATATACATCTTTTGTAGAGCAATAATAATTAAATATTTTAAAATATTATAATATTGTAATCCTATTAATATTATAAATGTGAAATCTTACATATATTTAAACGTTTATTACAATATACATAGATCATTATTATCATATTACCAAATAACACGTAATGTAATAATAAATATAACTTTTATTTGTAGGTACTAGATAGTAGATAAATATATAAAGTAGTAAAATAGATAGTATTTATTTTATTGCATCCAATTTGAGGAATTTCAGTAAATTTCAATATTTAATTATTTTGATTTACCTTAATATAATTTTATTGGAGTAGTACAACAATTTTCTAAAAACAATGATATGTGTGATTTGTGTGGTATCTCCAAAACCATCGGGCATGCTAGAGGCCACATAATTCTGTATTTTGCAGCAAGGTCTTCTTTCGACTGAGTTTTTTGTAGAACTATTAGATATTCTGTGATTTCACTTCATACTGGCCTTTGACTTATTCACAGTATTTTGTTCTCTTTAACTCTATGGAAACTTGTAATAATGAACTCTGCAAAGTATTTCAAAATTTGTAACGATAATCATGGCGTATAAACCGTAACTAATAGCAATGTTTGATTATTCTAGATTGTTCGACGTGGGTGGTCAGAGATCTGAGAGAAAGAAATGGATCCACTGCTTCGAAGATGTGACAGCGATTATCTTCTGCGTCGCCATGTCCGAGTATGACCAAGTGTTGCACGAAGACGAAACAACGGTATGTGTGTTCTTATAATTTCTAATGTGTAATTTAACCCCTAGTAACCACATTTCGGTTCTGTAACATAGCAAATACACGCTAAAGATTGGGGTAAAAAAGTACCCCACTATACACTGGGGTACGTTTTTACCCCAATCTTTTGACCTTTAGAATATTCATAGATTTTGACATTTCGCGTTGTATATCATATATATTGTATATAGTTGTATAACAGTATCTAACTGCTTAGTTTCATTTAACATCAATTTTAAGCATATCAGTTTCAGTAAATGCATATAGGAAAATTAAAGATTACATTAATTAATAAATTATTAACTTAAAATTGTTGGCAAACAGGTTTAGGTTAATGACATTAAGATAAATATGTTTTTAGTGACTGTAATATTAAAATATATTTTTTAGAACAGAAGCATTATATATATAGTATTTAATATCAAGTTTAAAGTTCTTATAGAAGGCAATTCACTTACATGAGAAAATACAAGTTTTACAAAACTAAGAATAGATATATTACCAATGTTGCTAGTGGTCAAAAGTATGCTTACATTTCAAAAGATTGAATGGATATTTTATAAGAAGTAACTATTTAGAATTACTTTTTAGTTTCTAAGTTCATATTTATATTACACATATTTTTTGTCATTTCCTCTACCTCAGAATACATAGTTTTTTATCCTGCTTTAAAAAATATAAATATGAATCATAAAACACTTCTCGTTATTGATATTTTATTGAATTAAACGGAAATATTTCTGTAGATGTTTTTCCTTAATGAATCTGTACTACACGCCATTGCAATGATAAATATATGACGTTGATTCGCACGCTAATTTTAATACAATTTTAGCAATTTTAACCCAACTAAAGAACGAAAGTGGATAATATTTTTCAAGCGCCAGTATTTATGTATGCCTGCATTTTTAGTTTTGGCGTAATATTTAGTTAAAATTGCTTGGAAGATTTTATTTAAGTGTCCTTTGACTTGTCTTTTAATTGGAGCTAGTTATGCAGATAATATAATTTTCTGTGTAATTTGCTGCAATTATGGGAGTACCATAGCATTTTATTACCTATAGTTAATGTAGGTGATATAATGACAGTAATAAATACACGAGTAGCCATACACGGGTATAAGCTGTCGGACGTTTGCGAAATTGAACAGGCGGGTTTTTTGTCACTTCTAATTGTTTGTATTTATTTTTTGACCGAGGATATTTGCCAAATACTTTGTAGCCTCTTTTTGTACAGCTTCTTCATTTTTTCTACTAATAACCTTAGCGATGACTTCACCTTTATTATAATTAACCTTTACCTTTAATTAAATCTAGTAATTTTCACAATTACAAAAAAGATATTAACAGTAACATATTGTGCATTTCCAGAACCGCATGCAGGAGAGTCTAAAGTTGTTCGACTCGATCTGCAATAACAAGTGGTTCACGGACACCAGTATCATCTTGTTCTTGAATAAGAAGGACTTGTTTGAGGAGAAGATACGCAAATCGCCGCTCACTATCTGTTTTCCCGAGTACACAGGTAATTTATATTATTCCCATAAATATAGTAAATTATATTATAATCATTATAAAAATGTTTGCACGTTTGTTACTCAATCATGCATAAATGATATGAAAAATAGCATATACATCTCAGAATTTACTGTACTACGGTGCTGCTTCACGGCGGGAATAGACAACACATGATGGCTGTATCAAAGTAATATAAAATAGAATGAGGTATTTTATGAAGATTTTGTAAACTTAAAACTATGTTCGCTCCTTTCCAGGCGCGCAAGAGTACGGTGAGGCGGCTGCGTATATCCAAGCTCAGTTCGAGGCCAAGAACAAATCAACGACCAAGGAGATCTACTGCCACATGACGTGCGCCACGGACACGACCAACATCCAGTTCGTGTTTGACGCCGTCACCGACGTCATCATCGCCAACAACCTACGAGGATGCGGTCTCTACTAGAGCGAACCGGCCGGTGCGACCACGACCCACCACACGGCCACACGGCGCACACGCACATTCCACGCTCCCAGTTGGAAGTCGGCATTGTTTCGAAGCATGACCCCGGACGCGCGGCAGGTTCTGTGGTCGCACTGCAAATCGTTGTTCTCGTAGTGTGGTAGGCGCCGCCCGCCGCCCGCCGCCCGCTCGGCGCCCGCTCTACGCCCGCCGAGGTGGGGAGCGGGCTGCTCGCAGCTACGCGTATTATTATATATTTTTATGGGAAGTAAGCTTATTGGATATACCGCCGACGTGCAGACAAGCGTCACGCTCGGGCGCGACTAGATTCGCCTCGCTCTGTTCCATTCCCCCTGTATTATAAACCGCCATTTCTCTTCATTCGGCGGTGTGTTTACCGACACCGCCCACCGCTCCCGGTTAGACGATTCGTTCTCGACGAATGCGAATTAGTGATCTAGTGTTCAATTCTAAATTTTGGTGCTAGGCATTGGAATAGTGTTTCGTTCGTGCAAGGGGTAGTTCGCGGTCTAGTCGCGGCGCCGCGGCGGGCGCTGCCTGTCCCGTGTGGCGCGGGCGGCGGCTCGGCGGCCGCCGGCGGCGCCCCCTGCCGGTACAGCCGCCGGCGGCCGCGCGAGTCGGCCCTCGGGAGCTCCGGCAACAAATGTGCTTATATACTCACTCTCTTACGGACCAAAACAGAAAGGAACCAATATTTAGTACTGAAAAACACGGTAGTGAGATGCATGAATACGTTCACAGGCCTACTTTAACTGATACATCATTCCATTATTAAGTATTATATCGCTTACGATGAGAAATTTATTTTTTATAAACTTTTGAATGCACATAACTGCTGTCGGGTTAAGATGTTAGCATTTATTTTACATACCTTGAATCGTTGTGTAAGCTAAGCGCAGTGTCATCCTCCGAGTGTGTTTACTTTAAGCGTCATATTATGCACAATTTATTTACTCGTGTAAGCATCAATAATTACGTAATGCCATATAAAATCTTAAATATTTTTTGTGTTCATATTTTTTCTATATCACTTTACAGTTAACCTTAAGGTGTAGCCATTTAAGATCTATTCTTGTATTCAATTATAAAATCATATTAGGTATTTATTTCGTCTAGCATACTCGTGTATTGAAGGTGGTATAGTGTAAACTTGTCATGTTTAATTTTGTATTTAAGTGATTAACCAATGTTTATGGTCATGTTAATGTTTGTCATTATGTTGTGGAGCTGGAGTGGAGTCTGTAATGGTGAGAAAGGGGTTGTAAGTAACGAACGGTCGCCGGCCGTTCGTGCAACGCACCACGGTTAGGATGCGGCCGCGGCGGCACTGTCGCGCATCAAGTGTAAGATATGTGAGTATATAAACTTTGTATACACTCGCGAATTGGCGTAATCAAACTCTATACATATATATACTATATAACATAATTTATTATTAATAATAAAATAAAAATCTTACTTTTAAGCATTAGGGCAGTAACTGTATCAATAAACATTAATTAATAATGCAATTAGACAGTAACCTTTACTATTGTCATAATTAGGTGATTTATTTTCATTTTATGTTTATGAGTATGTAAAAAGTGATTAAATGCGGAATGTAACGCCTACACTGTGACCGAGCGGGCCATTCGCCAGAGCGTTTATTAGACACACGATCGTCGACGTTAACAATTAAGGTTGCTGAAGACCAAAGATTTCATTACTAATCACTATCTAATTTTAAGAAAGTGGAAATTAGGTGTCGGTGAACTCTGAAGGTTTTGTGAAGCGAAACGCGGAGGAGCCACGGCTTCCGTCTGACTAATGTGGCAGCGGCTGCGACTGGCAGCAGCTGCGACTGGCAGCTAGCTGCGGTCGGCGGCCGCTTCGCGCGCGTGTGAGTGGCCCGCCGCCGAGCGGCCACCGCTCATTTGTTGCTAGTAGGTTTTTTACTGTTATGTAACAATATGTGTACGTAAACTAATAAAAAATAATTAGCGCAGTTCTACATTCAACCCGAAACCTAAATTTAAGTAAGCTTCACACTACATTGAAAGTTTTAAAGTGTGAATGTTGAATGTCTTCGCTGTTGGAATAGGGGTCTCATCGCATCGGTACGATGTGTTCCATGGTGTATGACCGGTGCCGGTGTGTGTATGTTAGGGGAGGGCCCAGGGGCGCGGCCGGCCACCGGTGTGCCGTCGTCGCTTCATTGTCGCATCATTGTCGCACGTGGACGCGCGACATTTGCATTGGACTGCAGGAATGTATTAAGCCTCCAACACCGGCCGCCCTGCTCCCTCCCGCCCGCTAAGTTCATATATCGACCGAGCAGATATCGTAGAGATTGATTAAGGTCGTCAGTTTCGCATTTTAATGTGTTCCTCCGCCGCTAAACATTTAACTTGTATGCTTTAATATTTCGAGTGAATGTGATGTAAATTTTGTACACTGCCGCATTGTTTATTCGCTCGAATCACATTTAGTTTTTAAGATTTGAGACAGTGACCGAAACGCACACGCCACTAAACGAAATGTTTGTTTGGGACACAAAATGTTCGCACAAATGATAGACTCGCGTAAGGACGTACGCGCGCTTCGCTCGCAGGCGACGTGCCCGGCCCCGGCACCCGGTGACCACTCGTCTCTACGCTCAAACTGACTTGTCGGCCAAACGTTACATCGCGTGGTATGTGCGTAGGCTTCTTATTTGAAGACTGAATTGATGCGGCTCAAAATGTTCTCGCGCTTTATTAGATCCACGACGGGGGAAGTTTATTACAGATTTTTTTAAGAGAATTAGTAGTATCGGGTCATGTTAGATGTCTTATTGTATATGATGTGGCATGAGATAAATTGATGACCACCCGGAACGACATCTTAATAAATTAGCAAATCGAGCGACGTTCAGTTATTCTTTAATATTAAACGCTGAATCTTTATCACAATGTTGTCGATCTATAAACAATATCACCATGCTTCATTCATATTTGCCAAAGTTAATACTAACCTCACTATTTATACTGTATGTTCTTTGATAACTAAATTATGTCTGAGATCGCGGTGAGGGCGGAGACGCGCCGCACGCATCGCCGTCGACGCGGCCCCGGCGTCATTATAGTCGTACGGTTAACGGTACTGATCAGAGTACAATGTTGAAAAATATCTTATTTAGAATTGATGACATGTAAACATTTATTTCTAGCGCGTGCGAGAGACCGCTCGGCGTGCGTGTGTTGTCTGCGTACTTGTTCTCGTACAGTCGTAATGAGCGATCGCTGTACTCGTGCGCGTTGTAACTATTGAGCTGCATGTACTTGTACGCTCCACATAACGTAGCCGACGAAAACATGCCGAGCGGTCTCATCTATTGAACAAAAGTTTAAGAAAGTAAAATTTTTAGTCACTAGTGGGTAATTTTTGAATGTGATTCAATCTTATCTTTATTTTTCTATATCGAGTGACGTCTTAACTTTTATTTCTTTACGTTCCATCTTATGTTTTTGTAAAAGCATTTACTGGAAGCGATGTATTTAACCAACGATCTAATTAAATCAATATTTTCTCTTTATGTATCTCGTCTGCACTGGTATTTTTTATTGAAATTACTATAAATGTACTTTTAAGTGTATAATTTTAAATAATTACTGAAAATGATTATATTCTAATTTTTATGTTCAAATAATGCGATGGTTTTATTTCTATCCCTAGTATTATCCCATTTATGTTAAATATAAAACATTGAAGGCAGGTACATATTCTGCGACCTATCCTAGTCCTACATCGATAAGCATAACAAGTTTTACTTATACCTAATGATACGATTATTATCTATGTATCCATAGCTAACGATTCTACTCCCACCTTGGATTATGAAGTATTTGAGAACGTCTATGTTTCCCACACTATTTATTCTATAATTTTTATTTATTATATTTTATTGTTCTCTGCTCTCGCAACAATTTACAAAAAACAGTTTTACAAAAACGTCTACTTTCTAATACAAAACAAAACATATATTAAAAAACTATTTTTAGATAATATTTCAGCTTCCTTCATCGACATAATGTACATACGTAAGAAGGTAGTTTAAAAATTTATAAATATATTCACTATTAATTACTTCTCTCTGCTGGACTGCCCTAAGTATCTTATTCCTGTTTTTTTTTTTTTTTTTTTTTTTTTAATGGGTGTTAATGGTATGATAACCCCGTCTGCGCCATCGGTATGCAATGGCGGGTCACCAGTGATACATAATTAATGAGGATGAAAGCAGTTAGCCCATCCTGACAAATTCAACTAGAATTAGCCACATTTAATAAAATGGAACTTACGCATTCAATAAAACAATCGATTATAATTATCATCATAATCTCAGCCATTATATATATAAGGAACGGTCCTAAGCCACCTGCATCTTTTTTTTTAATTGATGATAATGAAAAGGTTACCACCTGCGTTAACAGTATACGCTGACGGGGCATCAGTGACGGATAATAGGTGATGGAAAGACTGGTCAGTTAGCACATTGTGATAAATACACCAGGAATTCAGCACGATGGTCTCCAGGGGGGACCATGTGGAGGTCAACCTGATAGCGTATGTTGCTAGCAATGAGACTGGTAATCCACATTACTAACAATTTCCCCAGCCCATTTGAGGTGGTGACTCCATCTAGTGACGAGTCTACCTTCACTGCGGCTTACACTATCTGTACGGGGTCACCACTCATGAAACTTTCTTCTCCATCGGTTGTTGGTTCTTCGAGCTAGCTATGTAGCAAATGCCACTTCAGCTTGCTAATCCTTCAGGCTATGTCGGTGACTTTGGTTCTTTTGTTGGTTTGTAAAAAGACTCCGAGCATAACCCTCTCTATAGGGGGGAAAGGGATTGTTAGTAATGGAGACTAAGAATCCCATTGCTAGCAATGTACCCAACCAGGTCGGCCTCCACGCGGTTCCCCTTGGAAACTATCATGGTTAATTCCTGATGAATTCATCATGATGGGCAACTGGCCTATTTTCATTCTCTTTGAACACCCTTCACTGGTACCCTGCCAGTAAATACCGTTAGCGCAGCCGGGGCTGCCATTCCATTTTCACCCATAAAAAAAATCCCTCTTTATAGTGAGCTATAGCTCACTGACTAATTTGAAGCTGTTGCATACGGACAACCATGTAGGTCCATGTTTCGGTTATTTTTATGGATGATAATGGAATGGCACCCCGGCCTGCGCTATCGGTATATGCTCGCGGGCCTAATTATCCAATTAATTATTAGGAATTAACCAAGATGGTTTCCAGGGCGAACCACGTGGAGGCCGACCTTATCAGGTTGGTATATATATATTACATTGTTAACAGTGGGGTTGTTAAACCCCATTACTAACAATCCCACCCCCTCCATGTTTCGGTTTTGGTCACCATTGGCAACACGCACTGGCTAGAAACTCTGGTCTTTAAAATTTGCGGTACTTTGGGTGAGAAGATGTGGCGTAGTTTTCCTAATGCTGCCCAACCGAGTTTGTATTTAACGGTTTACCTTTTCGTAGAAGTTATTCATTTTTAATGGATGATAATGGAAAGCGGGGTTTCGCTTGAGCTAACAGTATACGCTGGCTGAACACCAGTGAGAACTGATAGATGAGAATGAAAGGGCAGGTCAGTTAGTCCATCGTGATGAATACACCTGGTTTTTAGGGGGAACCAGATGGAGGTCAACCTAACAGGGTATATTGCTAGCAATGGAACTGGTAGTTTACTATCAATCCCTTCCCCTCTTCTATTGAAGTTGGACTTCCCTAGTTTTATTTTTTAAATGGGTGATAATGAAATGGTAACTCCGCCTGCGCTAACGGTATACGCTGGCGGGACACTAGTGAGAGATGATAAATGAGGATGTAAGCAGGTCAGTTAGCATATCGTGAAAAATCCTACGAAAAGTAACCATGATGGTTTCTAGGGGGAACTACGTAGAGGTTGATCTGATTAGTAACATTGCAAGCAATGAAGCTGTTAGACTCTATCGCTAACAATCCCTTTCCCCCTGACTTATCTAGTTGGACAAGTTGTCTCTGGCATACATACTCGTCGACAACTACAAACGTAGTGCTCACAATCATAACTAGTATAGGCGTGACTTAGATATGATTTTAGTCTTCCATGTTCATATCTAGTTCGATGATAAATTAAGTATGTAATACATACATTATATGATTGACTCCAAAAATTTTTCAATACAGATATCTATCTGAGTAAGGCATCATTTCTCTATACCTATTTTTTAAATTAAAATTTCAATTTTATATTAGCATAATTTTTGTTCTAAGTACCAATATAAACTAAATTTAACTAATAGTTTTAAACTTAAATTATTATAAATTTAGTTTATGATGGTTAAATAGTAGTATCGCGTTAGTGAAATAGTAATATATAAAACTAGAAAATAATTCTATCAAAAATGTTAGGTTCAGAGAAATAGCGCCACAGAATCTATATGACCTTCCATTTTTTTTTAAGTAATATATGTTAGCTGTCACTTGCACTAAACCGCGTAACAACAGGCAGAACAAAAAATATACAGCAACCCATTTATATATAAAGGCGGGAAAGGGATTGTTAGCGATGGGGTCTAACAGTCCCCTTGCTAAAAAAAATTGTTAGTAATAGGGTCAAATAACCCCATTACTAGCAATATACTGTCAAGTCGACCTCCACGTGGTTTCCTCTGGAAACCATCGTGGTTAATTCTAGTTGAATTCGTCAGGACGGGCTAGTTAACTCGCTTTCATCTTCATCTATCATCTCCCACTGGTGCCCTCCCGGTGTATACCGATAGCGCAGGCGGGGTTACCATATCATTAGCATTCATTAAAAAAAAACAGCCCCCTTGCTAGCAATGTTACTAATCAGGTCGATCTCCACGTGGTTCCCCCTGGAAACCATAGTGTTTACTTCTTGTGGAATTCTTCACGATAGGCTAACTGACATGCTTTCATCCTCATTTATCATCCCTCACTGGTGTCCCGCCAGCGTATACCGTTAGCGCAAACGGAGTTACCATTTCATTATCATCCATTAAAAAAAAAACATTTCTGTAAAAAGGTATTTAATCGTTGTCTTTAAACATGGTAATTTAAATCATTCCGTCCGAAATCTGAAAATGAGTTGGTAACACTGTAGTAATAAAAAAAAAAAGATATCTTCTCTCTGGTTAACCTCTTGACTCTTGTGATTGTGTTTATTTCAATTGTGTTTGTAATTGAAAAATCAATATGAAAGACGTGATAGATGTGATAGCTTTACAAAATAACAGACGCGAAAAGCGTCTGCCGGATTATAGAAGTGCTCCTGGCCATAGCTTAGCTACAAATTTTGTATTCGAATGTGGAATTAAACTTGGTTTACAACCGGCTACCGTTGCCACAGCAGCGATATTCTACCACAAGTTTTTCAAAGAAGCCGATAAAAACGATTATGACTGTTATGTGATTTGCACAGCTTGTCTTTGTGCTGCTGGCAAATCTCGAGACGAACCTGTGAAATTACGGGATGCGGTGAATGTTGCACACAATTCTATAAATCGAGGCGCTGGCCCATTAGAGTTAGGTGAAGAGTACTGGTTATGGCGAGGGGCTGTCGCACAAGCGGAGTTACTTGTGCTACGATTACTAGGCTTCAATTTAGATGCGCCTTCTCCTCATCGCTATTTATTACATTACTTACGTTCACTTCAAGAATGGTTCCCCGCTGCTCAATGGCGGTCGGCGCCCGTAGCACGTACTGCAATGGCATTTTTACAAGATTTCCATCATTCTCCATCAATTTTGGATTATAGAGCACCACATATTGCAGTGGCATGTTTGACTTTGGCCTTGCACGTACTAGGAGTGTCTGTACCACTGGCGTCGACATTAGATGATGATGCTGCTTGGTACTCGGTAAGTGATAATTGATTTGTTTAGTTCTAATTGTTTTGTTTATGGAGATAGAATGGTGCTCTCTCTTGAACTACTGTTACACAATTGGCAGGTGTCAAGGGGTATTAAAAAATTGAATCTTTTTTAATAAGTGAAAATGGGACAGTAATCCTGCCTATGCTCTTGGTGTATGTTGGTAGGGCACCAGAGGGAGGTAAGGAGGAATGCTGGTCAGTTAGCCCATTATGATACATTTGTTAAGAATTAACCATAATGGTCTTTAGGGGGACCAAACAGAGGTTAACCTGATTGGGTTTATCACTAGCAGTGGGGAGTAGTCTTTCTATTATTAACGATACCTTCCCCACTTTTGTCTTAATTAATATTGACTGTACAATTTAGCATATGCAACTTAGAATGGCAAACAAGCTGACGGCCCACCTGATGTAAAGTAGTAACCATTGCTTATAGATGTGAGCAATACCATGGATGAAACAGCATACAGTTGTGCAATGCAAGAATATGTTGCAGTTAGCAAGTACTTTAGCACCATGCAAGTGATATCTGAACAGAACACAAATGTAAAGTTTTGAATAAAATGAGGATTATTTTCTGTATTCCAGGTATTTACAAAAGATTTGCAAAAAGAAAAGAATTGGGAAATAATGGAGAAAATCATGCAAGTGTACAGCAGGGAACCAGAGCCAATTTGAATGAATTATAGGTTTGAAAGATGGACTGATCATTTGTTGACTGATATGTGCATTCTGTATGTCTTACAGAATTTTATATAATAAACTAGTTCATAAAAATGTCTTGTTTTAATTATGTTGAGTAGGTATCCTGATTATCTTTTTGTTAATTGGACAGTTAAGTAATCAAAGTTCTGATTGACTACAGTCATTTTGTTATCAACATTGTATATTTAAATTTTCAGAGCTGAAATACTTTTATGATAAGAATTAAGTCCTTTTTTATACTATTATGAAATCAAACATTTGTAGACCTATAGGTGGAAAATAATGACCATTTCTTAATATGTATAGGACACCATGACAGAAATCCTTATTAATATTATTATTTAAAACAGTTTTGTTACCTTTACTTGACTAGTAGTAATGAAATTTTCCAATTTACCAGAGGGAGACATTGTACAAAAGTCGATTACTTAGGTACCTCTGTTCCATTCGTGTTTCTACCGTGAAGCAGTTGTGTTTGCATGGCTGTGTTTCGGTTTGAAGGGTGAGATATGGCGTGAATTTACTGGGTACGGAGGAATAACACCTGAGTCCTCAAAAATGGCAACGCATGGGGGGTATCATGGGCGAAACAGTATATTCTGTTATGTCCATGGTACTACTCATGTCTATAGGCGATGGTTACCACTTACCATCAGGTGGGCTGTCAGTTTGTTTGCCATTCTAAGATGTATAAAAAAAAATTCCATAACATGTACTATATACAGTTAAAGTGAAGAAGAACAAGATACTTCTTATCCCAGTAAATCAATATTTTCATATAATGAAGCAATAGCCAGTTATTTATATTGTATATACAAAATATAGCTCTGCCTTGTAGGTAAAAATTTTACCTGTGAGTGAAATCAGTAACAATATTCTGTTGCCTCATTTAAAGAAAAACTTAAGATATTTTTGTTAGAAAACTAAATTTTTGATACATGATGAGCGATACTCTTTATAGACTTCATCCATTATCTTTATTATTCAAATTTATCTATGATTTATCTATTTAAATAATAATTATCATAATTAATATTGACTGAGTGGCGACCATTTTGGTCCCATATATTAGTTTTTTTTATATTTTTGCATTTTCTTTTTATTCTGTTGTAACTGTTATAGTTGGTTTATATTAAATTTTGGTATATATAATGTAACTATTATATATGCCAAGTTTTTTTTTCTTAATGATCAGGAATACCGTGGTCCAGGTATAGAATAGGCTATCCCTCTCTTTCCCGTAGGTGTCATAAGAGGCGACTAAAGGAGGGCGAAGGATAGGCAGCAGCGTCCCTCTTAAAACATCTCTAAAACCTAACTGCAGTTGCCAATCTGCCTGCCAAGCGTGGCAACTACTGGCAAAACCCCCCCCCAAGGTGGAGGCTTATGTTCAGCAGTGGACAGTTAAAAGCTGATATGATGATGATTAGGAATAGCAATGCATGAATATCACAATATTCTATCATGTCCATGGTGCTGTCCATATCTTAAGACAATGGTTGATATTTTCCATCAGGATAGTGGTTAGCTTGCATGTTATATAAAAATTCATTCGTTTGAAAAAAAAGGCTTCTCTGGACAAATAATAAAAATAACGGTAAACGTTTTCACTGTTGTATGCATAAGATAGAACGAGAACATACAGAAAAAAAATTACTATTTGTATTGGGGGATAGGTGCTTTATAAAATGGATAACATATCCTTAGCAACGTTAGCCCGGGTTTTGAAGGTGACGATAAAATAAACAACATTATAGATCTACAAACAAATATAATTCAGTTTTCTAACATTTTACGATACATAATTTTTATAAATGTACAGGGTAAGCTCATGACGTGAAAAGCGGCACTAGTTTTCAACTGGCTACCGGATGTACATACTTTATGTGGTGCAATATTATTAGACATGGGGGACGGCGGCGCGCGGCGGCTACCGCACTGATATGCTTACTCACATGGTAGGTACTGTATGATAACTTACACCTAAGGTGAACGTGAAGATATGGAGCTTTTTCCATTCCAATGTGCTGTCAGGTTACAATCTACATTAGACACCAATGACTAGTATAATTTATAAAAAATTACGCTAAGTTTAAGCGTATTGAATTCCAATTTTACATCAGTATGCCAGAGAATGCATAATAGCGCTCCAAATGGGAGCATATAGTGGCGAGTTTTCTGTGCGTCCCATGGAAGACAACAGAATGAAAACCTCTCCACGATTCACGCATATATTTGTGCTTCTAACATCATAGGTATTGCGATTCGATTGCATTTGAGATTGAATAAATTCATTCCAAACTGAATATACACGCGTAATCAATTTAGCCGTTGCTACTTTTCTGATGCACCGTTGGAAATGCACGATTTTCTTAACGTCAGTTTATAGAGATATATCTTATACTACTATTTATTAAAATCTATAAATAAATTCCACACAGACAAAATTTAACACATGATATTGATGTAAACGACATAGATAAATGACAGTAATTAGTTATTGCACGAACTATTTAACTACTGGGTTCGGGACACTGGGGACACACAGAGAAATGACGTGGCGGACACGTGACGCACCTCACCTGTACAAGGTAACAAACAAACAACGTTATACATGGAAATATCAATATTTTATATGTATATATGTATGATATAAGGGGAAATCTCTCAAACAATATTTCACACACATAAAAGCAATCAAATATTTCTCCACATGTAAATTCAAGTTGACAGTTCGTGATTTGGTGCATAATAATTATGTTGATGTTTATTATACGATTATAAATTTATTAAGAGTATTAAATTATTTACAGACATAAATAATGTTCATCGCAAGATAATTTTTCACATGTATTTAAAGCATTTGGTAAATACCAAAAAACTGTCAACTTTTTAAATACAACAACAGATTGGAAATGTTGTAGTCTCGTCTAACAGAAGACAGATCCAAATGTTGAATGTTTGAAATTCTGTTCAACTGCATAAACATCTGGCTGATGCACTAAACATATACTTCACAACACATTTCACAATTTCACAAATATTAAAGGCAGTTCAAGTAAGTTAAAAAACACGAGATTAACATTAAAGTTGTTAGTGAGAAAGATTTGACTAATTGTTTTCTGATTGATGTTTTTGTATGAAATAGGCACTTGAAGTGAGAATCATCATCGCAATAAGATGGGTACAAAAGTGGAAAGAATTTCTACCTCGACAATAAATAAAATAAAATACATATTCAGTGTCAACCAATAACGAAGGAATGTACGAGCTAAGTTAACCAAAAGGAACTCTAACCTGAAGTGTTTACACATCGGAAGCAGCGAGGCAAGGCTGAAATACAAATTCCCATAAATATTTTAAAACTGTTCGACAATATCTATGTGGTACTCTGAAGAACAGCGTATATAACAATATTAAATAAATTAACATTCAATTATTCAGTTAGGTAAATTAAAATAAAACAATAAAATCTATGGCCGCTGAAACAAATTTGTACATGGCGTCATAAACGATACACCTCACCCCTCAGGACATGACTATTTTCCATTAAAATTTCCTAATCTACTAATATATTTAAAATACAATAAGAAATGACAAAAACTAACTACTAAATAGTAAATATAGACTTAAATATTTAGTACTAATATAATCTTTACGCGTTCACCTACTTTGGCTGGATTAACAAATAAATATTGTAGATTTGTCTAATTCAAATAATACTGGAAAGTTCTACCTGAGGGTCAAACATGTGCTGGAGGCGCGCTCGGCTGCTCGTCTCACTCTATATAACGCAATCGGTGGTCAAATCACACCACGCGTACACACGGACACACACACACTAAATACCAATTACCATGCTACATGGTGCTTGCTGTACGCAATTGTACAAAACTATGACTCCATTAAATAAAATCATAAACATTAGATCAATTTGTTTACTCGGCTACATAAGGGTACACAAGTACAGAATAGACACGCTATTTGTTCATCGGGATTATCGTGTTCCCTAACAAAACAACGGTTAACATACGTCAGATCTAAAATTGTAAGAGCAAACAAAACAATAGGAACTCTCTATAAATAAAAAAAAAGCTCTTGTAAAACAATTATATAAGGTAACATAAATTATTCCCATCATTTCATTACAAAGTCGAATCACTCATATTTTCATGTCTGCCGAATGAAGAATAACATAACGGGACGTAAACCAAAGTTTCTGAACTACACGTCGAATATGAATGTTTCTCGACTCTGCAATTACAATTGTATACGCCCGAATGATATTTTAAATTCGCAGATTTGTAACAATTACATACAATAATGTAACTATTATTTAATTTGGCATTCAATATCTGTTCCGCACATTACATCTCCATATACATACATTAATCGATAGATTTAATTAAACAATTTAAAATAAATAAAATTTAAATACAATGTGAGTAGATTTAATCTAATCACGGAAATAAAATAGTACTCCATTCTCTACCTACGGGTTATATAAAATGTTGTATCTTTCAGAAAAGCTGGTGTAAGTGAAAATGTCTTAAGTTATTAGTAATGGCGATAGAAGTTGAGAATATCCCAAGATCGAACAGCGCGAGTGCCTGATAGCATTGCATCTTCAACTCTCACTACTTAAACATCTTTTATGGTAAAATTTAAGTCTAATGCCTTTATCCACGAGTCGCGATTACGTATCATATTCTTCGGATGTTGGCTATCCCTTTTATAAAGACGGCTATCGCAGGTGGGAATTTTGTTTCAATCACAAATTTTATTTATTGCTTGTTTGTTTTGTGATGAAACAATAATCTACCTAAATTATTAGTTTAAAAATATATCACGCGATATGAAATAGCACGCTATGGTAGTTGCGGTCAGACGTAGATAGAAGTAAATGTTTTTTTACTTTTCTAGGGTATCAGCAAACCCCTTGTGTAACAGACCTTCCAAATCTTGGTTGCTGTTTATGTCTTTTTTTTACATAAATATTATGTTAGGACAATGCATAGACGTTTAGTCAGAGACATGTTGGTTTTTTTTTTGAGGAGGTTACGTAAAGCATAATAATAATGATGATAATAAGGCTGGCAGTAATTTTGCAATATTCATTTAAAGCTATGTGTATGGTCTATTTTTTTCTGCGATAGCCGTTCCACAGCGTACTGGCTCATCCCTGGACTGCTGTATCTTATATTTACATAGCTACTAAGGCATTTCTCTATCTAAAATAAGCGTATTTCCGTTTCAATGCAATATTATTGGGTACTCGCCCGTTCGCGCGGCTTTTCGCCTTCCAATCAACGCGTAATCAATAATACACTAAAACACTAAATTATTATGTGAAAAATAATTATCAAAATGGCACTGTTTCACAAAGGATATTCTTCGAGAACTAATCACCTTACTCAATTTGTACTCCATAAAATATTAGTATCTGTTAAATTAGTAAGTAAATTATTAGCGATTTAGTAAGCGATCGCTTGAGCATAAAACATACTTTGGCGGAAGTTCTGAGATTATGCCTTTCTGTTAAATTAATCTATGATTTATATAGTTTTTTTTTTTTTCTATTTACGTTTAGTCATCAAAAAAAAAAAAGAGAATATACTTTTAAAAAGTATTTTCATTGTACTATCTACTACAATTTAATATTATATATATATAAAAAAATCAGATCTGTGTTTTTTTTTTCGATGTAAAACAAATATAAAGCCAGCATAATCTCAGTTCCCAATATCCAAAAACATGAAAACGTAAAACCAAAGAGTAGATTACGGTATATGGAAGGGAAACGTAATGTAGTGTGCGCGCGGCGTTCATCGCACGTCGGTGAGGTTGCTCTTGTCGCCGAACAACTTCACCAGCTGCTCCTCGTAGTCGTCGATGTTGCGCTTCATTATCTCCATGCACGGGCCGAGTAGACGCTCGAATGTCTCCACGTCCAGGACTGTGGATTTAAATTAATCATTTATATTGTTGCTGTGTAGTCCCGCTATAGATTAGACCATCCTCTTTCCTGTGGGTGTCGTAAGAGGTGACAAAGTAACTTAATGGTCGAAGGATGGGCAGCAGCGTCTCTCTTAAAACATCACCACTAACCCGATTGCCAAGCGCGGCCACGACTGGTCGGTTAACGGTTGATATGATTCTTTTTTTATACAACTTAGAATGGCAAACAAGCTGACGGCCCACCTGATGGAAAGTGGTAACCGTCGCCTATAGACATGAGCAGTACCATGGACATAACAGAGTATACTGTTTCACTCATGATACCCCCCATGCGTTGCCATTCCTGAGGACTCAGATAGGACTCAGATGTTATTCCTCTGTACCCAGTAAATTCACGCCATACCCCCCCACCCCCCAAACCGAAACACAGCCATGCAAACAACTGCTTCACGGTTGAAACACGAATAGGACAAAGGTACCCAAGCAGTCGACTTTTGTACAAAGTCTCCTTCTGGTATGATGGAAATTTTGACTGCAGACCTCTCCTATGACTTTAGTGATTTATAACTTATTCAATATTCAGGTGAAAATTTACAGGATTAATAAATTCTTACTAATATTATAGGTGTTAAAAAGAGTATGTTTGTTTGTTACCTTTTGGCGCTTTAATAGCTCGACCAAACGTTGTAAAATTGTATACTAAATTTCACGTATTATATTGAATGGATAAGAACAAAAGCCACTTTTATCCCAGTCATTCAACATATCCCCATAACGCGGACAAAGCACAAAAATATTGGCAACAACAGGAGTCACTGTCTTCCTGTAACTTGGCTAAGTTCATGACTATCAAACTGCAACTTGTCAAGTACTTACATGCCACCTTGGTGGGTCCGACGGCGTAAGCGGACGCGGCGCGCGGCTTGTGAGTGACCAGCGCAAGCTCGCCGAAGTAGCCGCCCTTGCCTACGACAAAAATACGACGGGAAAATTTATAAATACACTAGACAAAGTAGATTATGATAGTCGACAATGATAAACCATCTATTTTAACGCCATGTCTCTTGCAGCTTAGGCAGAGAGAACGAAGTGGGAAAGACCTCTTATGGTTATCTGGCTTCATGAAGTGTAGGTCTTTTCTAATATGTATTTCTACATGCATCCACATTCGCTTTGTCTATCTGTTTTGTCAGTCTTTTGTCTGCAATTCATTTTCAACCGACTTCAAAAAAAGGAGGTTCTCCGATTTGGAAAATTCTTTTTTATCTGAAAGAATATATTTACAGATTCGTTTCATAGAAAATTATCCAAATCGGTTCAATAGTTTAGTTAATAAATCAAAATAATTAGTAATTCAAAAGTCAGTTTCTTTTTTTCTAAAACATTATTTTAAATAATATGTCCGAACCATTGAAGCATGCTATATCTCATAACGGTAAACTGTTGTCTACAGAACAATAGCTTTCACTGATTACAACTTTGATGATCAAAGCAGTAAGGTGTTATGGTCTTATTTATTGCACTAGACTATAAATCCAAACAAAATTGTGCACGCATCGCTGTTTCCTGGAAGAAATATTAAAAACAATATCTGCGCCAGTATCAATTAAGTACTCAGACAAGAATACGATGGAACGATGTATTTGTGGTACAGATTTTTATACGTATTCGGCTTTTTTTAAGGTTCGAGTAATAATTTTACATTTATTATTTATTTACATTAAAGCTATATGGTTAAATATTCAAAATTAAGCATTTAAGCTGACGGCCCACCTGATGGAAAGTGGTAACCGTCGCCTATAGACATGAGTAGTACCATGCACATAACAGAGAGTACTGTTTTGCCTGTGATACTCCACATTCGTTGCCATTCCTGAAGACTCAGATGTTATTCCTCTGTACCCTGTAAATTCACTGCTAAATCCCACCCTTCAAACCGAAATACAGTCATGCAAATTCAATTGACTTACAGTAGAAACATAAATGGGACAGAGGTGCCCCATTAGCGTTTCTACCTACCCACCCACTCTTCAAACCAAAACACAGGCAATTTTGTATACAATAACGTAAATATAACCTATGTGACCTTTGTAAGATTGTCTAGAGGAGGAGATGACGACAGTACCATAGCAGTAATTTCTTTGTTATTCCTTATCTCATGTGTCAAAATGAAGCTAAAATATAGTCACTTGGCAACAAAAATAGAAATGGGTGAGATAGAAAAAACTATACAGTTATAAGCAGATAAAAACTCAATAAAATGAATTTTGCTTGTATATATATATATAAAAGAACTATTGATTGGTATTAATCAAAAATGTTCTTTAAGGAAAACGTTACTAGCATACTTTGTTTTGGAACTATACATTTTATTTATTTAGTTTTTCCTTATAAGTTATATAACAGACTTTAATATTTGATGTAAATTAATAATACTCCCATAAACGTACTACACTAACACATGCTGAATATAATATTTAGTTATAAAGATGAATGTCTATATTACATTAAAAACTAGAATATACTACTGTTCTCCTGTACCCAATTCTTAGATCTATAAATTAAAAAAATAAATTAAATAGGTATAACGGATGAAATGGTTTCCCAAGCTCATAAGTTTTTATATCAGGACATTCAATAAAAAATACAGGTTAGTATGTACTAATATTAGTAAGAGAAATAATTACTTAATAAAGAATCCCCTAGGCAAGGGGCAAACGAATCTATTGATAGAGACGTTTCTGCTAATGCACGCATGAGAGAGAATAGTGACGGTTGGCGCGAAAATATTAAAAATATTGGCACCGGGTATTGACGCTTGAGGTGAAGGGGGAGGGGGGAGGAATTGTTAGTGACGGCTAGAGCTAACAGCCCCATCACTAGCAATATACTCTATCAGGTTGACCTCCACGCGGTTTCACTGGAAACCATTGTGGTTAATTCTTGTTAAATTCATCCCAGTGGGCCAACTGACCTGCATTCATTCTCACTTATCACCGCCAGTACATACCGATAGCGCAGGTGGTGTTACCATTCCATCTAAATCTATTAAAAAAATATTGTCGCGTTCTATCTCATGCATGCATAAGCGATAAGGTATTTATTGACAGATTCGTTTAAAAAATTGCCTACGAGAGGCTGTCTTCCTTTAGTATAGTTTTGTCATGTCCATTATTTGTCTCGATATCATATTTATTTTATTCAAAGACCATTAGAGCAGTGTTACTTAAATTTGTAACCACTGTTTCAAAAAATATTAAATATTAAAACGATGATGTGACGTGGCTTCTATCAAATCAAATTACGAATTAAAGAAATGTTCATGCAATCAAATATAATAATTTGCCACTTATATAAAAATTACTTGTGGACAAATAATGTTTAATTATACATCTCAGATAAACATACAATAACTGATAGTAGCAACACTGTATACGTAGAGTCTATCATGGCTTCGCTCTTGAACACTGAATAATAAACAAACTGCAGATAATAATAAAATTTTGCCGAGGTTTGCAATAGAGTAGTGTTCATTTTGGAGAAAATGCCTTGACGTATCCATATCTTCTTGGACTCCTCGCTAAGTGGGATTGACCTTCAAAACTGTCATTTTCTTTATCTATTACGGTTAAGTTCACTACTATGGTTAATTATCGATTCACTTCACCTCGGCGATGTCCGACCCTATTCCGGGGATTTGCTTTGATCCAGACGAGACGAAGATGCTCATACATATATATCTTATTCCGGCGCCGGGTCGAGCAATTATGGTTGTCTTCCTCCTTCCTCCCTGTCGCCTTTCGGCGTTACTGTTTCACAGAATGTAAAGACAGGTTACTATCAAGTACATCGCCGACAACCATCATAACTGGTAAGTACAGGGGGGTCCACTATGAAACCTTAATTCCGAAATTTCTGATCCGAATTTCAAGCATATAATGAAATAAGTTCAAATGGATATTAGTTAATCTTATTTCTTTCGACCCTTAAATTTTGGAAAAAATGGCATAGTAGATAACGAGATCAACCCCCAAAACCTATGATGGCCATATTAGGTATACTTCAAAGCTAGAAGTCTCTTTGGATAAACTACAAATGACAAATATTTTTATTTCCTGGGTGTCGTAAGAAGCCACTAGGCAAAGAAAGTACGACTTCTATAGATTTCCATACACTGATGTGCAAGAGAAGAAAAACTAGATACGAAGTTCAAGATGCCCGGTCAGTGTGGGTTAGTAAACTAATATAATATATTTTTCCCAGACCCAACAGGGATATTAATGAGTTGTTATGGTGATGATGGTAATGTTAAAAGGTACAATCTAATAAAAATTTAAAACTACCCCATTTCAAATGAGCTCTATTGCAATTTTGGATACGGAGATGATTTCCCAAATGCAACTAATTCCCTTACGGCCACGGAACTAGAGATGCTTTTAAACGAAATACTCTTGAAGCTGACCCATTAGCAGATTCCTTGGATGCAGCAATTCTCATGTCTTACCTACTTTGATTTCACTATACGGCTCTTCTATACCATTCAGTGCTGCAAAGAAAAAATATCTTCTGAATCTTGCAAAAAAAAAGTGATTCCAGTGGAAATCCATGCTTATTATGAGTCGCTGGTACTGTAATACCAAAGATGTCTTACCTGATGCTAAAATTTTCAGGTTCGCGTGAGGTGTCGAGTTGGATGCTGAAGACTGAACTTTTATTTAATCTAATGAATCGTTTATTTCGAAGTTGCAACTGATACAAATAAAAATATGATAAATGTGTACGTATTTTACATTTGTCCTTATTCGTAGACTAACGTAGATGTAAAACGCGCTAGTCACGAGGCCGATTTAGTATGATGTAATGTATGATATGTAATGTTATGTAATTTTTTTTAATAATTTGAACAATATGTAATATTAAAGAAAAGTTATTGAGATTCAGTATATTATGTCTTGGTTAAATTTTTTATATTTGGGTTTGTTTTCACTAGATAAGTAATACTTAAATTTTTAATTAATTCCAAAACTTGAGAACGAACTAGGAAAAAAATATAGTAATCTTTCAAAGGTGTCATAATTAACGGATATTGTTAGTATAACAAACGGAGGAAGTATAAAATAATGTCCAATAAAATAAAATTCAGGGAACAAAAGTTCCAATATAATTACATGCTAAATCGACCACATGACCCACGCTGCGTATAAGAGGATTAACTTTTGTACCTATATTATTTCTTAGACATATTCGTTCCGTTTAAATATAGTTTTAACATTCTGGAATTGTTGATACCTTTTTGATTATTTTGCTATTCTAGAATTACGCAATTTTCTTACCCTTGCAGTGGCGGGCCATCGTCTGTTACTTAATTTTAGCTGACATGTTACTTAATTTTATTGTCAATTAGTAGTAGTAACGACTACTAAATAAATATTCTACATCACACAGATATAAATCAGTTTTACAGTTGGAACTAGTTATGTAGAGAACAGCCAGATTACCTGTTATGCCCATAAGGCATAAGGCATGTCTGACTATAGTTGATAGAGATGCTTTCATAAATGCTATTTACTGGTGTAGTGGCAAAACATAGTGGTGGTACATACCAAGGCGCTTGATCTCGTGCTCATTGCCGTCGTCGCGCGTGATCCGGATGCTGACGGAGCCGTCTTCCACGAAGTACATGCCGTCGGCGGTGTCGCCCTGACGGATGATCAGCTCGCCGTCGTTGAGGGAGCGCGGCAGGAGCGCGTCCGCGAGGTTCGCGCGCTCGTACGACTGTTAACAAATTGATTAGTGCAATATTAACTTTCATCATCATCATCATCATCATCCTCATATCCGTTATCTGTCCACTGTTGAATGCTTAAAAACTAAATGAAATGTAAACAAACTGACAGCCTAAATTTCTTATTCATTATCTGCTATTTATAAGTGAATTTCCGAGGGAAATATATGCATATCCAGTAGTTTACTATTATGAAAATCTCCAGAACCGATATGTATGCATGAGGGGAGTTAAAATGGTGAAGCAAGTGATGCGTGTAAGAATAGAGGTTTTCGGCACTGGCTTTCCTCTGCTTACCTCACAAGGGAGGTAGTATTTATATTGACAGATTATTAGTTGAAAGTATTTTTAGAAACGTCTGTATACAGGTTCCTAATTATAGTTCTGGCGGTAACTTTCTACATAATTATAAACCAAATAATCCTATATGGCATGGATAAATGTTATTATATATATATATATATATATATATATATATATATATATATATATATATATATATATATATATATATATTCAACGACTAGTAGCAGTAGATAGTAAACAAAGCGCGTTCTTATCGAGAATTATTTACTAATATATAGAACAACTCAATTATGCGAAATATAATTATGTTCATAACTGTATCATGAAAAGATATGCATTCTAGAAAAAATGTTGGTAAATGCACCTTATAAATATAAGTCCCACATTTTATAAGGTGTAAGTATAAACAACAACTAGTCACAGTTCAATTAAAAAAATATTTTCGTTTTAACACGTTGGCTGTTTAAAATACGGTTCACTTTATTGCAAGCCATTGAACGCTTCTAAAATCAGAGACAACACGTTTGTAGATTTAAAATCACAGCAGGGACTTAGTAATTTTAGAACCATATCTACTTAGGCAACAGACACAAGCAAGCTGTTTGAGGGGATAATTAATATGGAAATAGGTATTCAAGCAGATAAATTTGTGAAGTAAACAACTTCTTTTTTCTCAGTTATTATTTAACAAGAACTAGAAGAATTATGTGAAACTAAGATAAATGGAAAATGGCAATTAAATTCAAATTTTTATCTTGATTGAGACGCCATTTATTATGTGACTATTTCTTTAAAAATCAAGTAGTTTGGTTTCGGATTTTTTTACAGAAATAAGATAAAATATGCTGACGACTATAATCTTTGATGGAGTGAGGGAATTCATCTATCGTTGTGGCGAAAAAACATCACGATATGCCCTGCATATCAGGAATATAATATTAAACTCAGGAATATAAATTTGTTATGAGTATCTTAGCAGCTCTACATTTTTTTTTATTAACACGTATAACACAAAAAGGGGTAAAAGTGTGATTCTTATAGTGGAATTCTTTTAGGACTTCAGGTAAGAAATTTAAGATGGTATATATGTAGACACATAAAGTAGTAACCACTGTTTAAATCAGGGTTTTTTTTTTAAAACAAAACAAATGTTATTTAAGATACTTTAAGATAATAATAAATATATTTACTCATTAAGTAACATAAATAAGACAATTAATATATAGAAATTTGAATGTTGGAATAAGTGACATTTTATTTCTATATAATTAGTATTTAATATTCTCTATTAGAATCGCATTTAGTATTATGACTTAGACAAGAGTATTGTTTGTTTAATTATTCTGATATTTACAGAGTAATTATAACGGTCTATAGATTCCTGTAGTCTGATCGGTTAGGTTGAGAATTGGTGGCGTGATTTATTTATTTAATTAATCATAGGAATACTAACATTTTGTATTATGACAGAGGGAGACTTTGTACAAAAGTAGTTTGCTTGGGTACCTCTGTCCCATTCGTGTTTCAACCGTAAAGCAGTTGTGTTTGCATGGCTGTGTTTCGATTTGAAGTAAATTTACAGGGTACAGAGGAATAACACCTGAGTCCTCAGAATGGTAACGCATGGGGGGTATCTAGGGCGAAACAGTATACTCTGTTATGTCCATGGTACTGCTCATGTCTATAGGCGACGGTAACCACTTTCCATCAGATGGGCCATCAGCTTGTTTGCCATTCTAAGTTGTATAAAAAAATCAAATATAATATGTATGTGTATTTATAATAAGCATGTGTATTAAAGGTATTTACAATATTTACTTTAACATAATTATTTAATATGAAAAGATGATATGACAATGATAGCGAAACATAATCGCAATTCAGACAAATTGAGAATCTCCTTTTGAAAGTCGGTTAAAAATCGATTTACTTCAGTAGATCGCAAATCTTTGCAAAGCTGTCGATAGTCATTATATATTTTCCTATATTTGTAAATTAACGTATTCATTTTGTAAGTGAATTAACAGCTTTAGATCTTTACAAAGGTGAGTGCCATTAACACGTTTTCCTCTGTTCAAGTAACCGAGTCAATCAAAGTGAGAGATGCAGCAGTGAGATATTGCTGGGTTCTTGTGTGATGGTAATGATCTTTAATTTACTGTCATTACGAATTCACAGCTTGTTCTCTTTGGGGTTGGCAAAAAACGTTCTTCAAGCAACATACAGAACTCATACATAAATATTTACAATGTAGTATATCAACGAAATATCTTGAAGTTTATCGTTGCGGGTGTGTGTAAGCGTTAACGATTAAAATCGTTTCTTTTTTGTGAAGTAATATCTATATCAACAGCAGTATATAACAATAGGCATACATATATTTTATACTGTGTAGTGTCATTAGTATTATTTGTAATAGAAACTAATTTTTTTTTGAGGTCCACAATTTTGAGAAACTGATTTCATTAATTAATACACTGTATATAATATCAGTCGTAAATTGTTCACTGCTGAAAAAAGTCCTCCCCCTTGGTGGGTTTTACCAGTACCCGCCACGTTTAGCAGGCGGGTTAGCAATCGCAGTTAGGCTTTGGAGATGTTTTAAGATGGAAGCTGCTGGCCATCGCTTGACTATTAAGTTCCGTTAGTCGCCTCTTAGGGCATTTATAGGAAAGGAAGGGGTGGCTTATATATCGGGACCACACACACACACACACACACACACACGCACACACGCATGTATATATATATATATATATATATATATATGACCCTGGAAATTTGTGTGCCCTCCACACATGTTTAACTTCAGTTGCGAACAGAAATGCAAATGCGTATGTCTGTTTATTAATGTTTATGTCTGGACGTGGTGCGCCCTTACGCAATGGATTCGAATATGGAATGGCGTTATATAAGTGTATCGAATATATCCGATTGGACTATGTTAGTATAGCGCGTTTATGATTTTTAGGCGTCATAAAACCATCTTATATATAGCACTTATACAATTTTAATTACCTTACCATTTCTTTCCATGTTCAGTTTTTATTATAGGAAAACGGTCAATAATGTCATTTGCTAATTAGTGACTATCGTGTACACAAAGGTTCCCAATGAGAGGCATTTAAAGGCATTTTTTACCATTGAAACTTCTATATATATTATTCCTTTAATATTATGAAACACAATTCAAGAAAATAATTTAAACTCCCTTATCAACTTACCGCGAACAACTATCAAATCAGTAAAGAACATTAGAAATTTTCGCCTTTTTCATTTTCTGGAGAAAAATATCAGATATATAATTATCATAAATATCAGTTAAACAGTTGTCAAAATACTCAATTAGAAGATTTTATTATTTAACGAATAAAAGAATAAAATTTCTCATATATTTCAAATAATACAATTTGTATTTTATACGCGTACTAATTATTCAAACATTCTCTCATTATGAGATAAAAAGTTAAAGTGACAAAAGTCCGCTTTTTGTACCAATTTTTTTTTTATATATTGTGGTCAATATATAATAAATAAATAAATAAAAGTGACTATCTTTCCAATTCCTCATAAACGACATCATATGACTGCATGATAGTGATAATTTTCACATTCCAGTCATAAAAAAATATTATCAATATTTTTATTATAATGATCACGTTATCATTATATAATAAAATTAAATCGGTTTTCTTAGTTTATCCAATAAAGTAAATAATAAAAACAAAAAATGTACGACGGACCAAAGTCTGTCTAATTAAACATCGAACTTACGTACCTAAACTGGTCATATAAACTCATTTCTGAACAAATATTTGGTAAAAAAAAATCAAGTATTTCATTTATTATCTGCAAATAATTTTTTATTATAAATGTCGATTTTTGTTTGATATTTTACTAATACTTAAAATTGATGCGGACTGGTGGTTTATCATTTTGTCTTTTGGTTTGTATGGGAAGTTGCAATATAGCGGATTTTATACAAATTAATCTACTATTATTTATTATAGATTATTTATTATTCAATAAAAGAAAGCTACGATAGATACGTAGCTTTCTTTTATTGACGATGATGATTTATCTAGTATAATACAATTACTAGAACATTGTGGTCGATTCTCTATAATTTATATTTTATAATTATGTATGATATAATTTTATTACAAGGACCAATATCAATTAAATTTCTAATAGATGTTTATAAAACATTAATTTTAAAAAATATTAAATTAAAATATAGGTTTAGACAAATGGTGTCTCAGAACCGACGCCCGACGATTCTTCATAAAGATTAAGATTAGAATCGTGAAAAAAAAAAAAAATTTGGGAAATAGCAAGAGTAAACACTGCCGATTACAATACTTATCTAGTTTGTTTCCTTAATTAGCCTGATCAAGTATTAAACCTTGGACCTTTTTCATACAAGATTTGTGGATTCTACTGCGCCGGTTAGACTGGAAATAACCGTTGAAGACGTTCTTATTACTTACAATCTCTTCTTCATCATCACGATCATCAAGATCATTGAATAAAAGTTTAATCAAGAAAATAATGAAATCATTATATAAGATAACACACGAATATACATTTTCATAGATAAATACAATATTATTAAATTTTACTTGGCTTTAATTAAGTAATTATATACCCACTTAGCGGTACTCGGTAGCAAAGCTTATCAAACACCCTAATGTAAGTGTAAATCATATTTAATGATAACATATTATTTTCAACGACGCGAGGACGTAACCAGTATCGTGTTAAACAGCCGATATATAGATTTGCTTATCATTTTTATATCAGGTTTACAATTGATTGTTAGACTTAATAGTATTTGTAACTATGTACTTTATGATTGTTTAGTTGTTCCTATCATAATCCATGTATATATATTATAAATATCGATGTCGATCTGTCTGTTTGTTCAACAATTTTAAAAGTCGCCTTTCGTAGACAGACAGTTTTCCGGTTTGGTATCAATATAGAACATATTATGGATATTTGATCGCGACGTGTGTAAGTTTAGTACTCGCACAAGATATGTACGTTTAAGTATGAAATTTTAGTCATTCTCATAGGACTTTCAAGCTGGACGGATGAGGCAAATATAAAGGGAAATGTTGCTTGCCGATAAAATATCTCTCATGTGCGTACAATGCAAAAAAAAAAAAAAACTAATGCGTCATTCACACACCGACGAATCGTGAATTACAACGACTTGTTATTATTTTGTAGGGGCTCATAAATTTCTATAATCATATCACGAGTTCACAAATCGTGAAAAAAACAGGAGTACCTCCACCCCACTCGTGTTTCTGCAGCCAAACAAGCTTATATAGTCGTATTTCGCGTTGAAGGGTAGGTTTAAGGGTATATAAATCATATTATAGAAACATCACTATATATTACAGAAATTTCGGGACATAATACTCTCTCTCTTACTAGTTCTCAGAAATGACAATGCACGAGGAGTGCCGTAGGTGTCACAGTATATATTCTGTTTGTTCTATATATAGGCAGCCATCATCACTTTTGATTAAGGAGGTTGACAGTTTGCCATTTAAAGTAAAATGTCAGGACGAATCGCAAGGTGTTGCAATGTGCTTTATAAATCGAAAATCCATTCCTATGTTTATACATAATTTTGTTTAAGATGGATCGTAAATAATCGAGTCGTAGAAAATCACGATACGGTTATACCAGGAATCGTTACATATTTATTATTAATGACAAATAATTAATGATGTACGTATGTGTAAACGAACCACAAAAGTACCGTGTGCTTGTTAAATGTATGCGTGTGAAGTAAGATAATATTTACGATAAAATTATTTTGAAAAATGTACTTCGTATGTGTAGACTCTGAGGTACTAGGTATAATAAATTGAAATTAGATATCTAGCTTAAAATATCAGGAACTTGAAGCAATAAATACTGATAAAAGATAACATTAAAGTATAGTAAGAAGAAAAAAAAAAGTTATTTTCTTATATACTTTATACAAGGCTAAAATTCAACTGCATCTCTTCTTATGGAATAGTCTAGCTCGCCTCATTTTCAAGTTTGTGATACCATCGATGATGCAATATTATGTTGTTAGTGTTGTATAAATTCTATGAAAAGAGAAGAATTCATGCGCCATTTTCATCTAAATACATTAAATATTGGTTTTATTCAATCTATATAGGCTGAACCTAAATTAGAAATTTATGAGCATCTCTGTAAATTATTGATGCCCATTAATTCCTCTCTTTCCGTGAGTAGGCAAGGTAGATAAAATCTTTTCTGAGAAATCAATTCTGGGTACAATACCTAGAATTGATATACCAGATGAAGGTAAAAGACTTTATAAATTTAAAAATAAAAAAATATTCTGAATAAAGTACTTCATATGTGTGGACCATAAGGCGCTAGGTATAATTTAGATACCTAGCCAAAACTATCGGTAACGTGAAGCAATAAATATTGATAAAAGATAACGTTAAAACATAGAAAAAAAAGCAAGTTATTTTCTGTCACTTGACACAAGGTTAAAATTTAACTGCTTCTCTTGTCATTGATTTTGAGTTAGTATTGACTGCATTTTCGGGACATTGAGCACGAGCGCCACCCATTCATGTATGAAAAAGAGGGGGGATTGCTACTTCAAAGGCGTCTGTAAACTATACTTCTGAATTCTTTTATAATGCTGTATTAAGACATCGCTATTAATATTGGTGTATATATGTTATGGAATAAATTTCTTTAATGCATTCAAGTTAGTCTCTTATTTTTTTAATTACTTTATAAATTCTTCAAAAAAAGTTAAAATCGAAATAATATCCACCTACCGTAGCATGATTAAAACTGTCATTATGTTCACATTGAGTTAGTATTTAATAATTATGTATCTATATTTATATGTTATATATATGTTTATTCCCTATATGTTTATGGAAAGTAGGTACGTTTCGTTCAGCTCTGATTTCGGATGGACTTTCACAGTAAGAGAAGGCAGGCCTATGCAGATGCAGGTACGTAATAAAAAACATTTTTAAAAATACGAATTGAACTTCATAAACTGACTGGGTAAAACGACAATCATTTGCATATTTTTAAAGGAAGTAGAGTGTTCCATTAGGGAAACTAATTTTTTATACGGGAAAAATTTATGAAAATTGACAAAAAATTTTGAGCTTTGGATGGGTTAAAATAAGAAACAATTGAAAAATAAATAATAAATATAACTGATTTATGATTCAACTTTTTTGTATTTCGACCTAAATTTTCATGAATGTAGAACACTTTCTTAAATGGATATATCTAAAATATGTACATAGAAATTATCAATAAGCAATATTTGTGTAAGTATCTACATGATGTAATCGCTATTTTAAAAGATGGTTTAAAGATTTCGTGGATAGAAACTGTAATACAAGACTTTTGATGTGATAAATCTATCTAGATAGGCTTTATCTCGGGAAAAATCGATTTTACGAACGAAACTACATCGGCCAGGCATTGAAAAGAACGTGAGCGGTGTTAAAATTTATCAACAAATAGTGACGTAGCGCACTTAGCGAAGTGAAATAGAAATAATAAAATTTTGAACTTCAATCAATCAAGCTTTAAATGATATGATAACAATTGACGTGAATATACGTATTATACGAAACGTCATTTTATACCGATAAAATAATTTATAACATATTTTACTTAATACTAGCTTTTGCCCGCGACTTCCCTCGCGTGGGGTATTCGATTTCTCAAGGTTTTTGTTTGGAACCATAAGCTTAAATCTAAAATTTTATCTGATTTCTAAACTGACAAAGTTCCATAAAAACTTTCAACCCCTGTTAACTCCCTTAGGGGTTGAATTTTCAAATTCCTTTCTTATTATTCACCTATGCTATATAAATATATACCTGCAAAATATCAAGATTCTAGATTCAGCGGTTTCGGCTGTGCGTTGATATATAGGTCAGTCCCTCAACATCCTCTTTTATATATTCGTATATAGATATATATGATATAATATGTATAAATTTATATTATTATTGCTACACATAAATAATATTTATATGTAAATTTTTACGTTTTATAAGTACAATCAATAATTAAAAAAAAAAATTATCTGCGAGAAAAATATATTGAAACCTGTATTTTTTTTAATACCACAAAGATGGCACACAAGCACACAATCCGTCTGATTGTAAACGGTATAGATAAATCTCTATAATACTTAGTATAAGTGCTTTAGGTATAATATATGTTTGGTGGACATGTAATGTTGAAACGTGTGTAATTTGTGTAGTTTATAAAAACATATAATCCAACCTACTAACATACACTATAATTATTTATTACTTTACATTTATTATATTCAAAATGTATGTATAAAGATTCGCTGTTTTGAAGTACAATTTATGTTTACTATCTATCACAACGGATACATGCATGTCTTGTCTCTCACGTTTTTATAGTCAAACTACAAGAAAATCAGGAAAATAGTTTAAATGTTCAGCTGGTTATAGGTAAAATAAAAAAATTATGTTCACGAATTTGCTATAATACAGATCACGCGGTGTAGGATCCTGAACATTTTTTGATACATATGTATTTGCAGCAGAGTCCCTTTGAAAACATCTCTAAAAGCTTAACTGCGGTTGCCAATCCTATTATATCATCGATCATAATTATCTGTAATAGGAAAAAAAAAATTAAAAGTGTAAATACCTGAAGCGCCTTCAGCATGGGCACTTTGTCGAGAAGCTCTTCGTACAGCTTGCGCTTCTTGAAGGCGCTCTTGAGCAGGATGCGGCGGAAGGTGTGGCGGTCCATGGCCCACAGCGCGCCCGCCGACTGCGCGCGCACGGACGCCGCGCGCGGCATGTTGTACATCAGCGCCAGCTCGCCGAACGAGCCTGAGCCCTCGTACGTGTGCACCACCTGGTGATAGCACACAGTTGGACTCAACGATATGTAGGTATTATCAGGTTCTTAAAAACTATACATTCACATAAACCAGTTTTTTTTTTAAATTAAATAATTATATTTTATTATAATTTTTATAGTCATTTTATCGATCTTTTACAACAACTGTTAGGACTAATGCTCTAAAATAATTAAAAAATGTTTCAAAACAGCAATATGGCGGACTAACTAGGAAGGGTGAGGAGGCAGAAGGGGGCGACTCGCCCCGGGCCTCTAGTCCTGTGGTGCCTCCAAACGCCCCATTTTCCTCATTCATAACAATGTTCTATGTATGTAAGTCTAATTTAAATTTCCCTCACAAGATTATAACTAAATAAACACTTATACATACAAATGTGAACTGAATGAAAAGCTTGTAACATTACATTAAATTCGTTAACCGGAGGACGCAATTAGCTTTGCCCTTTTGACCGCCTTAGACCGCTATTGCATGACACTAGTATGCATTCATACTAAAACATTTAGTTTTAGTGTGAATATGAACAAATTCGTTCTTTAGTGTGGAATGAAGAAAAATGCAGTAAATAAACAAGACCCACTGTTTAATTTGTTAGTTTTAGTGTATGTTGTGTTTGTTCAAGTTAAAATACTTATAAATTGCATTACTTTTCTTGTAATATGTGCATTACTATAATATCATTTATGTACCACAATTTTGAAGGAAATAATTGTACATGTATATTAGCATATTATTTGAACTTTTGAAAAATAAAAAAATAGGTATTAGGAAATTTTAGAAGAAAATATGAAATGAATGTAGGTATTTTTTAACAGATAACAGTGAACTATGATTAATGTTTTAATGCATTATAGAATCACCTTTAAAATTATCATTATTTTGTAGCTTGCAAAGTATGTTACGAGATAAAATGGAGGTCAATGCCCAGCAAATGGCAAAGGCCTCCCTTTTATCTTACCAGATACCCCTGTCCCAAACCAAAGTCTGTTAAATTTATCAGTCAGACATTTCAAATCGATTAATTTTGCTCGAATTTCACTGTTCACTTACGCTATAGTAAACAAGTAATATTTAAGAATTAAAACCTTACAGTATTGTTCCGGTGTGTGAAGGGGCGAGGAGCGGAGTGATTTTCAGGGATCATGATTATTAAGGGGATTAACGATTCCATTATTATCAAACCACCTTGATCAAATCATGGCGAATTCGTCATTACATATCGTTTGCTATGCAAAAACATTCTTTTTGTTTCTACTTTTCCCTACCATCATATAGTTTACGTTATATATTAAAAAAAAAGAGCATATTTATCCAAGCTTTTCTCATTTTTCTCCAAGATATCTCTCTCTCTTAATCTCATATTTTATTAAAATTTCACGAATAAAAAAATAACCATCGAATCTGACAACACTGTCACGTGACACAAACGATCTCCTACTCTTTACTCGAATTGCAGAAGAGTTCAAAATTACAAAAAAATGGTAACTATATTCTAGACTATTGTTAGAATAAAATATGACAAACATTATCATAAAATATTACCTTCTCGACACGATCATCTCCGGTGACGAGTACATCAAACATGCCGTTTTCGATGACATAGAAATTGTCGCCGTCATCGCCCTGCCTGATTACATACTCGCCGGGCTCTGAGCGTTTCTCGAACATTGCGTCCAGCACCTGTGATAAATAAGCTTTATTAACATAATTAAGAAAAAAAGATTTAAAAAAAGGATAAAAAAAAAGAAAAATTTGCTCCGTACAGAAAACGGCAATATCAATCGCAACAAATTGACATTTGATCACATACAATTGAATTAGTTTCATTTGTTATCGGTATTTCCTCATTCTCTCTTTATTTTAGAAAGAATTCTTACAGTATGTTTAATTTTTAATGAAGACAGAAATTGAATACACTGATTGATTTAAAAAGAATTGTTCACTGCTATACGTATCTGAAAATTATTTTCGACTCTTGCAAATATTAAGGAAAAACGAAAATCAAATGACAATTGTATTATGCAAGTTCTCAATAACAAGAAAGTTATCCAAGGTCTTAGTAAACTTTTGCAACTTAAACTTGTATATGGAGGCGTAGGTAGCTAAATAAATAATCCTGTTTTGATCGCGCTGTCCTCTGTTCAAACATTGGTTACATAGACTAACTGTATTCTGATCATGTTACTTCAAGGTTAACACAGCGATATAATGTTTCACAAGCAATAATTGTAGTGTTTATCCTTGTTTATTTTAGACCCCTCGTTAGGAATTGTAAAGTCTGGTGTCATTTTTTTATGATTATCACCTGATTCTTATTCTAAATGTGCAAATCTTACGTAAGATATTAATTCGGAACTATTACGTTTCATTATAGATTGAACGAATAATTCAAATCTCTAAGGCAGATTAAGAATGCTCTTTGATATCTTAATTTCTAACGTCGTCAAAAATACAATCGAAAAAGTTTTTTTTTTTTTTATTTTGCTACTTACGCACTATCCTAATATTCTTTTTATGTAACTTAGAATGGCAAACAAACTGACAGCCTACCTGATGAAAAGTGGTAACTGTCGCCTATAGACTATATACTGGAATATGTTAATGCAATAATCTCCTTCGGCACATAAATATATCGCAGGTGTTATTTTCATATAGTTTCAGGATTCTATTGCGAGCGAAGTCATTTCATCGCGGATTCAGATCTGTTTTTTGATTTAATTTTTGCATAAGCGCTATGATACCTTTGCCCAACATAAGTGTATTACATTTTAAGCGACTTTCGGTAGAGGTTTTCAATTTGTCTAAATTTTTTTCTTACATATATTTATATATCTTACGCTGTAAGGTTACCAATTCTAAACAGAGTTTCATAATTATTTTCGTTACGATTGATTACCGTATTGGTTCTGTAATTTTGTGATGATTGAATTTGCCATTGTCGTTTGCGAAGCAAAAAAGTGCTGGTTGCGAAGCAAAATGTATTTATAGTTTGAAATATTCTCAATCTAATGTTACCACGAAACATGCCGTCGTTCATAGTTGTGTGCAGTGTGTTCATGATTAATTTTATTGGGAGCAAAATTGACGATTTTTTTAAATTTATATATAAACTGTTCGTTAGTCTCGCTAAACTCAAAAACGGTGGATCAATTTGAATAATTTTGGATAAAGGGATTAATAGAAAAAAGTCAGGAAAACCCGACTTTTAGCTGCAAAAACTGAAAATTAAAAGTACCTAGGTAATTTTATACGGAAATCGCTACTTCGAATTACTTTTATTAGATGGCGTTGTAGGTAGGAAGTACATCGAGTCGTCTAGTTTTTAATAAACTTTACTTGTCACACATACCTGCTGCATCTGCTGTGCGTCGAGCGAGCGGAACAGCAAGATGCCCCGCACCGCCTCCGCGAGCCGGGCGCGCTGCGCATCCGATTTGGGGAACACGGCAGGCGCGCCTTCGTCCGAGTCATCCTCCTCGGGGTCGTACGTCTCCGCGAACACCGACTTGCGGCGGTTGTTGAAGCGCGCCACCGGCGGCTCTGGTGTTGCCAATAGAAAATTTACACGCTATTTAAATGTATTTATATACATTGTGACATCATCAACCGGTATCGGAAATTATTCAATATAAATACAGGCAGCTAATGTATCTTAAAAAATTTAATGAGCAATTTGTAATATTTATTATGTTCTCATAAGATTATTATAAAAAAATTGTTAAATATAAATGTATAATTGAAGTCATTAATATCCATTTAAAGCGATGCTTTACCAGTGAATCAAAACATTTTTCCAAAGAACGATGGGTTGAAAAATACACAAAAAGTAATACGCTTATTAAAGACTTTTTACTGCGCCCGGAAGCTTTGATTCTGGACTACTAAATAAAAGTCAATGACCCACACGGAAACAGATGATAAGTGACACTATTTAGCAAATTGTTTATACAAAAATTTAATTAAAGTTCCGTAATTTTTTTTTTTGAATTATTATAATAATAATAAAGATTGCCTTGACGAGATTATTTGTAGCGATAAGATCGCTCATTATTCTCAAATGTGTGATCTACCTATGTCTCATATTTTTGTTTTTACTAATCCAATATCCTTTAGGAGAGCATAATAGAGAATATTTACCTATTTATAATAGCTTTAGAAATGACACAGATTCCTAATGTGATGCCCGGTAGATAGGTATAAGCATTTGTGTTTATGGATTGGAAAAAAACGAGGACAAATCTGAATGCGCGCACGTTGCCTGCGAGTAAGTTAGGTATTCTATAATATAGTCCATTAAAATGGTTGCAATACTTTTGTTAAAACCATGTATTTGTATGGGTACTAATGAAAGGTCTAACAACAGGTTGACTTTAAAAGACAGATGTGTTTGATGATTAAAATGAAATAATAACCTTATATAATTTTATTTACACATAACTCACAGGCTTGTCGCCATGTGCGTTCGAATAAAAAGGTATTTATTTTTCAAAAGGTCGTCCGGCCTTGTTTAGTTAAGTCAGTCACGTAACTACTAACATTGGTCGGATATCGACTCTAAGTTGCTGACATTGTTCCTAACATGTGGTCCATATAGAGCAGGTTTTTCTATAAAAATAGTTTATAATAGTATGTTAGAAGGTTATACGAGTGAAATAAACATTACAACAAAAATGTTGTACTGCTTTCACTTAAATAGTACAGTGCAAGAGATAGGTATATACTGCTTGTCGGTCGCGTAGTCACTGACGTCATACTACCGTCGTGAAGCTCATGAATATTACATTTGGCTCATTTAAAAATGAGGGATGAAATATATTTTTTATTGCACAACAATTTATTGTTGATAAGAAGTAGTATTATACTTGTCAATAAATATAATAATGTTAAGGAAATATCTACCTAATACTTAGTCGAGCACTGTTTAGAATAAATTGAGGGCTGACCTCTATAAATGTTATCTGTTAGCACTTCCTCACATTTTAACCATTTTCGAGTCATTCAACCAGATTTAAGCAATTAATCACACTGCCAAGCTCATTTTCTTTGTTTTGACTTGCTTAAATTTAATGTACCTACCTAGGTATCTATTTTGTTCTTTACGTTCACAAAAGTTATTGTATATTGAGTGAGAAATTTGTATTTTACATTAGAAATCTAAAAACCGCTAAATCTAACTAGGTAGGTATAAGTAATTTTTTTACTGCTATTTGGCGTAACTACCTACTTAAACAATTTAGGCATATCTTATATAAAATTAACATTAGTGAACATATGAACAAATGTCTAACTTAAACAAAAAGATATTTGTATTGAGATTAGTATTTTTTGTACGTCTTATTTTTTGGGAACTAAAATAAGGTGGACCTCAATTTCTCTGTGAAAAAGGCGAACGCAATCTTCGCTAAATCTGAACCGATTTTGATGATTCTTTTTGTAAACGATATTAATTACTTTAGTTTAAAGTCGCTTATTTTGCAGAGTATAAACTTAAATTATAAATGCGATAAAAATTCGTACAGAGCTTGTTGATTAAATATGCTAGATATAAAAAAAAAAAATATTTGAGGTAAATTGTCATAATAGCTGTATATTAGTCATTGTAATGTTTTAGAAGATAGTCATATAGGTATGTCACGTGGGTATGTCGTGAGAATAATTCGTGATAATTCACTTCTCGATTTAATATTAGGCGCGTATATACCTACATACTTATTTGAAATGTGATATTCCCTTACTCAAATGTCTGTTGCATCAGTACGTATAGAAGTCTTCATTCCAAATATTTCAAATTAATTTATATTTTTTTCCGATTGTTTTTATACTTGGCATAGATATTTAGTAAATAATTTTAGTAGGTGTCATTTTATTGATATAGCAACTTAAAAATAAAAACGAAAAATATTCCATAACCAATTAACATAAAAAATATTATTCTAGCTGTTTGTTTATATTATACACTTTTATTTTGATATAAAATATATATCAAGATTGTTTACTAAATATTAAAAAATAAATTATTAGACAATATTATCATAATATGCTAAGAAATTCATCCGCACTATCATTTAGGTATATTCGATTTTCATTGGTATTTCGAAAGATCTCTCAGTAATCTCACTTATGTGTTACTAGGTACGAAATGCCTGTACAAATCAAAATTTTGTCCTTGACTTCTAGCTAGACCTAGTTGAATAGATGTAATGAATGGCAGTTATTCAATGAAGAGAGTTATAAATATAAAATATTTTACATTACCTATCTTTACACTTGTCATAAAATCGAAAAATATGTTATAAAAAAAACTAATTTTTTAGATAACACTAACTTTTTACCCACTATTTCGTACGCGTAAATTTCAGAAATAGGAAAAATAAAGAAATTGACCAATTCTAGACGCCGTATCGAGATAAAACATATACCAGATTTTAAATTAGATCTTCAGGAATATAAATATGAAAATCGCAACCAATTTGGTGCGGCGTTTTTGAGTGATTGCGGAGCAAACAAACAAACAGGCAAAAATGTCTACAAATACTGTTTTGACTTGTAATGATTTTATAACTTTTTTCTTAAATATCTCCCAAGAATAGACATACTTATTTGTGTTAATAATCTAATAAAACGAATTACTAATAATGATTATTGTATCTCTTTGAATTAATGAGGGCTTAACTTGCGCGCTAGGAATATGGAACAGATGCCTTTGATATCTAGTAGGAAGCTTGTATTGCACATTTGGAATACGTTTCAAGAGACAATAATGACGCAATATTACCCAAACACAATTCGCCGTTTACTTACTTAACTGACAAAAGGATGTTACCTATTTTTATATAATCACGACAATTGGTAAATACTTAATTTTAGTATTTTTAGCTTTTTCCAAATAACGGCGCCTAATATAAACAATCGGTCGTGTGGTCCCCGCATAGAATAGGTCACCCTTTTTTTCCCGCGGGTGTCGTAAGAGGCGACTAAGGGAGGGCGAGGGATAGGCAACAGCGTCCCTCTTAAAACATCTCTAAAGTCTAACTATGGTTGCCAGTCCACCGGCCAGGCGTGGCAACTACTGGCAAAACCCCACAGCCTTTGGCTGTGGGGTTTTGCCAGTAGTTGCCAAGGGGGAGGCTTTGTTTGTTCAGCAGTGGACAGTTAAAGACTGATGATGAATATAAACAAATAGCTAAATGAAAAGGATCAATTGTTAATAGATTATTGTTTTATTACTTTTTTCTTTTGTTTATAATATGAAAAAGAGTATTTTTTTAACCCAACTTTAGCAATGCAACTGATTTCTGATTTGACTTTTAAGGAAGAAAATGTCACAATTGAAATAGGTACCTTTACGCGTTTAATCGTGCCAAGTACCGACATATAGGAAAACTGTCTTCCTATACTTTATTAAGTGAATACAATACAAGAATATTTTTATGAATTTTGTTTAATACTGACCTAATAATATACTATTTAATATATTAAATTGCTAAACGTACAGTAAACAACAACCAGTTTTACTACGAGCGTAATAATTATAAAACTTTTATCGACGTCATTCATATGAATGTCGACTACACGAAACAAATATCTAGTAAATATGACGAGTGATCTCCCGATTTATATTGGCTAGTATACAAAATTCCGTGTTAATTTTTTTAGTACTATGTGGTGTAATGCCAATACTATACCACTTATTATAAATGGTTATATCTCTGTGTTTGTGACTTTATTAATTAATTGTTCCACTTTTATGTGATTTTAAAATGAATAATTTTTAAATACCTAATATAAAACAAGGTTGCCATCTGCGTCCAATTCGCTGCATATTTTTTCAAAATTCCGCAACACATTCAATGTGGCTTTCACAGTCATTTAAATATTTGCACTGTGCGAAGCTAAAGCAGATCGCTAGTTAATTCTAAACTTTGATAATATTAATATACCGTTACTACCTCGTATAGGATTACAGTCGTGAACATGTTTATTTTAAAAAATGCAGTATATACCTACATGTTACAATGAAATTTAATCAATACCACATGTGTAATATCTGTTATTTTTATTAGTCTCTAATTCCAATGATTAACTGAATTTATTATGGCAGTAAGTAATTATACTATGTAAACATTGATAATAATTAATTTATATCTTAAAGGTTATTATAGCCAATTAATATAATTATACTATATTTCAATAAATATCAAATGTGAGTTTGTGAAGATGATTGAATATTTGTTATTCAACCACACATAGTGCTCGAATGGATTAATGAAATTTTGCATGTAGATAGAATATTTCTTAATGTTAAGTACATATAAGGTGCTTTTTATTGCAGAAATTGATCCAGTGGGATAATTTACACTATGTAGTCATAAGCTAATGTTTTATAATGTTAGAAAAGGCAAATTCTTGAATTATGTAGAAGAAAGGCACTTATGAAACACATACTCAAGTTTTTAATTATAGATAAAGTGATATCATCTTCTAATCTCAATGTAAGTTCATATAATCTATGCCCTATGCTGTTTAGAGAAGATAGCAGTTAGTAATGTATGACATCACTAATTAATCAACAGGTATTTTATTGCTCGCTTGTGATAGCATATTACAAGTATTACAACCTAATAATTGTCTACTTTTATATTTACTGAGTACCTAGTTAAGTATAATAAAATGTAAAGAAAAGACAGACAATTTTCAAATTGACTCATTAGACAGTAAATGTAGCCAGTAATGGTTCTTGCTTGTGTAAGTACCTACCATATATAACAATGAAACAGAACATCTCTTACGCAAATACCACTCAAGGCCTGGTTAGCACCTGTAGAATTCATACTATTCAATACAGTGTGTGTGGTCACATTTAAACAGCAAATTTTATGTAACACGCAAGTAAAACATCTGGTTCTGTTCAAAACATTAAAGTCAATGGCGGACAGGAAAAAAAATAAGCCAATCTCATCATCACACAACTTCAAAGCTTTTAAAAACAAACACACAAATGGGAGCAGCATATAGTAAACATTGTAAATGTATGTCTCTACAAACACTGCAAAGAGGTTTCAATTTTAAAATTTTTGTTAGTATCAGTTATTATTATTGTTAATAAGTAGGCCAAATATTTAGTGTTTACATTCATTAACAGAAAATGCAGTGGTCTAGTTAATATGCCATATCATATTTTTTCTTGATGTTTTAAAATGATTATGATGAAAATTAATGATATATCTTGTCTGTGTTATTTATTATTTGGCAACAGTATACAATATTCCTTAAAAATTTATATTATACATAAATAAAGTTATATCACAGAAACTGTAATGGCAATGTGCCAAAAATCAAATGATTACTACTGCTGGTAGTAGAGAGTATTTATAAATATTTTTTATACCTATTCAAGCTACCAAAAATCGTATTACTAACAATAATAATGTTTAAATCTGAAAAAAGATTAGTATGTTGTCTAGATCTAATATACTACTATGATAAAAAATCAAAACATATCTAATAAAACTATGTCTACTCAGCATAAAATAGCAGATATACAAATGTATGCTGATGTGATTGAGATAGATCTAGATTATTATGTTAAAGACTTTAAGGTTTTAAGTTATAGTTTTGATGGTACTTGTTTAGAACATAAGTAGAAACATGGGTGAAACAACATGTGACAAGAACTAGGTCAATATAATATTGGTCACAAGCTCATTACAATTCATCAATAGTAGACTTTAATGGTTTTAGATATTGTACATGATTACTTGAAACCATTTGTATGTTATATAGAGTTATGTACAATATTAATTCTGAATTTGATAATACATAAGAATCTAACATTAAGATTAGAGAAATAATAAAATCAATAATAGAAATAGAAATCTTGGTGCAATGAGTTTATATTATTTACTTAAATGTGGAAATTTATAATTATTTTTTAATCATTACTGGATGGAAGGCTGTTTTTAATCAGGTAGGTACACTTGGTTTATATGAGATGACATGGCCTATGACTACTGCGCCTAACGAACCCACCTTACTGACGTCCTGTACACATTCTTGTGACTGTATTATTGTTTTTCTAACAAATATGAGTAAATTAGTACCTTCTTCGTCTGATATTATGGACTCATCGGGCGTGCCGGCGGTGGGGCCCCGCACTATGGTTGTCGTCCTGTTGTTCTGTAACCTTGTGAAGAACTCGACCGCGTAGTTGATTACGTCTCCCGGCTGCTCCAGAAGGTAACTTATGGTGAATTCCAGTAAGATCTCTCTAAGGTCATCCGGGACTTGTATGCGTCCGCCTTGAGGCCTGCTCATTTCTAACGGCGTCGCCTCGGTGTATCGATATTATCCCGTATAGAGAACGTCAAAACGACACGTTAGATTACAATTTCAATATCATAGCCATCGAATTAGCTAAAGCGACACACCAACGAGCAATCTTACGACGGGAAGTAGCACTACATACAAACGTTAGTAAGAAATAAAACCACACTATTATACTAAAATTTCTTTCAAATAATAGTCTTTTCTACTTGAAATTAAATATAATGACACACTTTTTTCAAAAAAATCTTCGTCCTCCAGCCTGACAAATATAAAATCTCCCTTCACTAAAGTAAAAATGGCGAATTCTGGATTGCCCTACTTCACTTCACCTACATCAACTTCACTTCATTAAAAATTGTTGCTATATTAAAAAATATCTACTATCATAGACAAACTACTATAAAATACTTGACAATCGATCGGATGACATTCTCGTTTGTGGTCATTTTATCGATTTTTATACAATAAAGATAAATAGTAATTTAGATATTTTACTAGTAAACCCATGTCTTTAATGTATATTAACAGAAATAAGAAGGATGTTTTCGTCCAGTCTATTTTAATATTTTTTATTATATTGAATTGGTATTACCAATTCAATACAGTAAAAAATATTAAAATAAATTCTGGTATATTGAATATACCAATCTGGTATATCATTATATCCGAATTTACCACAAACATATAATATTTATTATTGTCTGTGGAATCAACCTATGTATATTTGTCTCCTAGTTACCTATCTTTCTGAAGACCAAATGGATAAATCCGACAATGTGGGGGAAGGGATTATCAGTAATGAAGTTTTAATAGCCTCATTGCTAGCAATATACCCTACAAGCTCGACGTTCTTTCAGTTCCACTTGGAAACCATCTTAGTTCTTTCTTGTAAAATTTGTCACGATGAGTTAAATACCCAGCCTGCGCTAATAGTATATGCTAGCGGGGTACCAGCGAGGCATGATAAATGAGAAAAAAAAGGTAACCATATAGTTCTCAACGGGAACCGCGAGAAAATCGATTTTATTAAATCCCATTGCTGGACTGGCAATACATCCTATTGGGTGTATTGCCAGTCCAGCAATGGGATTTCTATAACCAATTAATAGCGATCTTTTCTCTTCTAAAACTTAATACGTTAGTCTTTGTTCTTAGATATTTTTAAATACATGAGTTGTATTAAAAAATACATAATGATATAAGAGCGAAAGATTTTGTGGCATTTATAAATGAAATTAATATCAGCAACTCTAAATGAGTAATATGGAGTAATATTGAAACTTGTAATAGGTACTAAGTATTATTAGTATTATCCTTAATCTATGTAGATATGGAAGTTGATAAAACAAATGGCTTTTCTATCGTTTCTATTTTTCAAGATGGTTTCGTATTTGTTGGTAATAAAGATTAGCAACCCCATTACTAGCAATATACTCTATCAGGTCGACCTCCTCGCTATGGCGCATTGTTCTGAATTCCAGGTGTATTAACACGATGGGCTAACTAACCTGCCTTTCCATCCTCACTGTTGTCCCGCCAGTGTATACCGTTAGCGCAGGCGGGTTTACCATTCCATTATCATCCATTACAAAACCTAGCTTGTCCAAAAGACATCAACTTGCTTTCTACCACATAAGATTACAATTTTTGATCTTAATTAATAATCGGTAAAATATATGTCTCATTGCCAACTTTATTTGTAGTGTAGGTATTATATTGGAACTATATTTCTTTATTCACTACTAAAAATGATGTAGCTATTTTAATACGCAAAACTTCAAAAAGGTTTATGATTGAACTAAACCAAGATCATCAATGTAGTCTGTACGTTATGACACTTTTGAACTGTCTGTAAAATAATATCTCATCTTTTATTTCTAACTAGCTGTTACCTGCGGATTTGCTCGTATGGTGTCGTGTTCCTTTTTAATTGAAAAAGTTATAAAATAAAGTAAATTTTACTTTCTGGATTTAATAGTTTTGATAGGACTTATAGATAGGAGATGAAAGGGAAGGTAGATAAAAAAAATAAAAGAATTTACAACAAAACAATCTTTATTTACATAAGGCGTATGTAATTTAAATACAAATTTTTAAATATTCCTATATTCTTAAGTATTGACCTTTTCCTTGTGATAATCATTGATTATATTTTTCCTTATATACGAATACTTGCTAATAGCATCCTTTTCTGGGAAAACTATAATATTTTCAGGAGACTCGTATGGATTGTAATCTTGTAGTTCAAATTCTATTTCATCGTCTGAGAATAAATCAGGTTCATGGTTTTCCATTACTTTCATTGAAAGACATTTGCAGTCTCTTAAAAATTCACAAATATCCTGGATGCTTTTAGCTGTAATTAATTCGAAAGTTTCCGACAAATACATTATAGAACAGCCGGGACATTCGAATATTTTATTTAGAATTACACCACACCATTTTAAGAGGACATCTAGTTTGATACTCAATTCTAAAGTAAGCCATGGTGATGGAATGATGGTTTGTTTGTCTAAAATCACGGTCCAAGGCTTGCAGAATTGTAAAAGTATAACACAGTTATCATAGTAACCCACTCTTTTTATTGTATTCATTTTCTCTAGTTCAGTTAACCGATCAATTAGTGTCTTTTTGTTATAACCAGTGATTTTCTGTAACAAAAATAATGTCTCATAATTATAAACATCACCAAAGTGTAAGAAAATATTGAAAAATGTTTAGAAATAATAAAACTATTTCATTGTGTAAGATCGTTTTAACAAGAGCGCATGTTATATGAGTATAAAATAATATTTTATTTTTATTAGTTATGTTTTCACAAAGGCATTCACTAATTACAATGAAACTAAAGAATATAAAATTAGTAAACTTTACTGATTTTACCTTTAATTCGTTAAATGTAGCTCCCTTTTCACATTTTATATTTAAATGGCTTATTATTTTATCTTCGAAGTCCACTACGTTATCATCAGTATATTTAATTATTGCTTTCCTGAAAAATAAAATAATAGCTATAGAATTTGCAACTAACATATTTTCATAGAAATCGTAAATGTAATTAATAATGCAATATAAGTAATAGTACTATTTGTAATAATTAGTAACAGTCCATACCTTGAGAATGAATTCAATGATTCTTCAATGTTGAGTGATTTATATAATTCTGAAAATGTTTGTAAGCTGCTTAGGTTTATTAGCTTAAGTTTTCCAGATTTCAGTTTGTATTTAGTTTCTATATCGATTACACTCAAATGCTCCTCTGATATTGTGGAGTCTGACGGGCCAGTATATACTGGAGGAGTTACAGTTACAATGTCTAACAAACCACATGTGTTAAGCTCACAACATACACAGTTAATACCAGGCAACCCATTTATTTCTTTCTCAGATAAATCACATTCCAACACTTTTGCAATATCATCAGGGAATTCCGAATTCAATCTGCATATCCATCTACGTTGATAAGCTGCCGATGTTTTGTAAGACGAATCAACTAAATCTTGCAAATTGATCTTGTGCAATTTGTTATTGAAAATTTTCTCCTTTGGAGTTATAGCTCCACATTTACGCAGTTGATCTACCGCTTTACGAAGCAAAACTTCTGGATACATTTTGAACATTATAAATATTTTTTTTGCAACTGAAATGTGGACTTCTTGATTACACGATAGTACTGTAAACATAATAGTTTCTTTTATGGTAGGAAGTTCTAACTCTGATTCGTGTTTTGATTTGTATGTGTTGTATGGTTTGTTCGCTGAACTTGGGACAATAGTATAGTTTTTATAGAAGTCCTCTAAGTTAAATGCGACGCAAGGCTTTGGGTGGGTAAATGTTTTGCTATTTCTAACTTGATTAATTATGTATACTAATTCTAACATGGGCAATCTACTTTCACTTGTATATTTTCCTATATTAGTTGGGTAACGAATTCTAAGCTTTCTTAAAAAACCCTCATATTTTTCTAATAAATTTCGTCGGCGCCGCAGTTCACTTAGTAGGCGTTCCCTTTCATACACCAATACAGGATTACTATCCAAAACGGTTGCTCGTCTATGGCAGATACTTTGAGTTTTTTTTGGATCTTTAAGTGACAATATATCTTTAGCAACAAGATTTCTGACCCTAAGGCAACCAGGTTGTGAAGTGGGACTCATAATTGTTATAGCAGTTTTACACATCATAATTATCATATCTTCTTCATTTGTCCATGTTATCAATGAGTCATTAGTTCGTTTTCTCTTCCTAATTTTAACAGGAGAAGTCACTTCTTCTGTAACAACTTTTGTGGGTTTAAATATTTTCTTTCTCATTTTTGTTACAGGTTTTTCTATTACGGGGAACTTTGCTCTTTTGGTCAATATCTTATTTATTTTTGGGTCAATTTTTACATTTACACTTTTGTGCCATAATCGTGGTATATCCATAAAGAAGCTGGAATCATATCCACAAGGTCCCATGCCATCACCACTTCTTTCACCAGCTAGTAATTGCGATGCTTCTTTTTGTGTTCTTACTGGAGGAATTATTTTTTTATTTTGTTCTCTTGAAGGTAATTCTATAACTGTTTTAGTGCTGATTTGGAACACAGCTGTCCAAAAATTACTGACATCCTCCAAAGTTTCAAAATAAAAAGATCTTTCTAAATCTGTGATATCTATATTTTTTCTAGGCCATACACCAGTTGTGTCTATTATTTTGGCATGGCGATTCACATAGTACATATAACCAGGGATAAAACTTGTAGAATCGGCCCCAGATGGTTGGGCAATGAGTTGAATTAAACCAAGTACAGCTAATGTTTTCAGGTTTGATTTTAAAGAGTTTTGTAAGCTTTTTGATTGTAATAATTCCTTATATAGTTTCGGTGGAGCATCTTTTAATTTCAAATAAAGTGTTTCTTCATTTACAATTAAATTAGACACATTTAAGTTACCAAAATTACTAAGATTTCCAATTGCAAAATCCACTGTCATTTCCAGAATAAGGTCATGTAGACATCCAAAACCAAAAGGAAGATCACTTAAAACTTTGGTATCATTAAAATATGCTAATTTTGCAACAAATTCATGAAGCTTTTGTATTTTGACATATCTAGGAAGGGAAAATTTCGAAACTGGTTTTTTGATGCTGGAGGATATTGCTTCTTTCACTTTCGTCTCTTTGCTTAAATATGCTCTCATACATATATCTTTGTGTTTAGCTTTGATAATAGGATCTGTAGCCTTTATATGTGGTGCACATATTAGAATGGAATATTTTGGTTGAGGTGTAGGCCACTTAAGTCTTAAGATCTTTATTTGACCATCTGTTGCCAATTTTAGAAGAAACGACTTCAGTGCTTTTGTGTCCATTGGCGCTTCTCCAATTTCATTAGCTACTATATTACTTAATGTTTGATAGCCAGATATAAAAAGTTTTTCTCTGACAATTTTCAGTAAACCATTTGCAAATTTTAATTGTCTCAAAGTTAATGTCTTTTTTGAATTCAGTAGTGATTTTCTGTCTCCGTTTTCATTACCATCAAAAGCAGTCACTTCCATAATATCATTTTCTGCACCATCAGAGTTTATATTACTGCCATCTTTTTCAGTTTTAATATTAACAGTGTTTTCACCAGAAACAGATGGTGTGTTTGAATTTTGTAAACTTTTACTCATGTCTAAATATTCAAGAAGCTTTTTCTTTTCTTCTGCATATTTAACATCTGTTTGTCCAGTGGTAGCCACAGCAATAAATCTTAAAATAAACATAGAATATATAAATATAAAAAAATAACACAAATAATAAGCCTTACAAATATTATAAATGTAAAACTAAGTTTGTTTGTTATTGATATAAAGTAATTTTATAAGACAGACATACCTTGCTGTTCTTTGCCGCCCTTTATCCACCAAACATTCTCTAAGAATTCCCTTTGCCCTATATACCTTACAAATAGTTCTTGCAGTGTAGAATTCAATACCCAACATGTATGCAAGTTCCACTTGTGTTAAACCTTGGAGTCCAGCATCAAGAAATCTCTCATAAGCCTGTCGTAGAAGATTTACTCCAACTTTGTATTGAAATTTGGGTGGTACTTCAGTGGGCTCTTCATCTGAGTTTGAAGACTCATCACTCTTTGATGACAAGGAAATATAACGTCTAGTTACGGGACGCTTCCTTTTATTACCTGTAGTTGTTGGGTTTTCATCCACAAGCTTTTCTCCCTGAAAATATGATTAATATAAATATAAAATTTGTCACACATTTCTAAATCTTTTGAGTGCAATGAAAGGAAACAAATTTATTCACTTATAATAGAAAATATCTTTAGTTCATAAAAAATTAACAGCCCATTTTTAAGATTGTATAGCCATGTTGTTCATGGCTATATAATCTGCAATGCAAAACAGGCAATTACTTTGCTTTTATAATATCACCAAGACAAGACAAGTACATAAGATATGTGACTCTTATGTACTTGTCAAATGTTAATTCTGTATATAATATACAGAATTTCTTTCATTATTCTTAAACTTGTATAATTAAGTTGTATTTTATTAAATACTCTAGCTTTATCAAATTTATAAGGAAAAGATTAAAACTACAAAATAATAACTTAAGCATAGTCAAGATAATTGAAAATATGATACTTACAAAATTAAATACATTAATTGTCTTCTGGAGCCTCCTGTTCATTTGTTGCGATATAAAACCTTTCTTTATAATCTCATCAGTTCTCTCACTGTAGTTGGGTTGTTCTTTCAAATAACACAATAGATCATGAATCCTGCCTACTTTAGGCATGGATAAGATAACACTCTTATAAAATCTTTTCAATCTGACAATTAAACTCTTGACACCTCTACCAGCCAACATTTGTGTTAAAAAAACAACCCGAATTAAATCTAAGTCTTGTAAAAGTTTTCTGTTATAAAACAAGTGTTTGGGATCTTTAACTATTTTTGTTAGGTTTGTTTTGCCGACTGTCATTTGACCCTAAAACATTTGTTGCTTTATTGAATACTAGAGGAAGAAAATTTATGTAAAAATAGAGGCTTTTATCATTTGGTTCTACCTAGGCAAAAAGAACTAAGTCACAATGGGCATATGAAATAGTATTGGCTAGACATTTAGTACAAGTTAGAAAATATATAAACAATATAATGAACATCACAGAATATACTGTCAGCACCATGGTTTTCTTTATCTAATTCACACAATACACATACATTGTTATTCTCATACACATATAGTTGTATAGCTACTAAGTGAAATTAAAGTACTAACTTTGCTATAATTTGAAGAATTGTCTTATAAAAATATCTACATCTTCCTTTTAAGAATGAAACCACTGTGTAAATTAAAAATAAAAAAATTAATAAAATTAGCCAATTTTTCATTTTTTTTTCCAAGACAAGAAGTTGTTTATTTGTGAAAAGATATAACAGCAGAAGTATTAACCATAGAAGTTTATTGTGAATACTTACATTATGTCTTGATTTTCCAGTCAATTCTAGAATACAATAATGTACAGGGGACAACTGTGCTAAATAGCTGATAGGTAAATGAGGTGCTAATGCATGCCACCTTTCTTCAAGAGAAGCAACTAAAACTAAAAAGTCATTATATTTAGATTCAACTTTTGGATATGGTAATTCTTTAATAGTTTCTTTGTCAAGTAATTTCCGTTTTTTATAATTGACACAAGATCCATACTCATTCTCTACTGGATGATATTCATATGGGCCATCAATATAATCATCCTGCAAATTAAATAAAAGAATTTTAATAAATAAAAACATAATTTAAAGTATTGATAACTAGTTAATTATTGAGATTTGCATTGTTAATTAAGGAGAAATAAATATTATATAAACATACATATATAAAGCAAAGGGTGACATTGTACAAAAGTCATTTGCTTGGGTACCTCTTTCTCTTTCATGTTTCTACTGTGAAGCAGTTGTGTTTGCATGACTGTGTTTCGGTTTGAAGGCTGGGAAATGGTAATGAATTTTTAGGATACAGAGACACAACACTAGCCTACAAGAATGGCAATGCATGGGGTGTATCATAGGCGAAATAGTATACTGTTATGTTTATGGGAGTATCTATAGGTGATAGTTACTACTTTCCATTAAGTGAGCTTGTTCGCCATTTTAAATTTTCATTTCAAAATTGATTTTATTTTTAAATTAAAATAATTGGTTTTGTCTCAATTAAAGTCAGATTTTTTGCAGAACACAACTTTCAATTATTATAAACATCTATAATTATTATATGTAAAAACTGATCACCAGTGTATAGGACTTCTTAGAAATAATTCCACTTTATAAGCACATAAATAATATTTTGTTAATAATATTTGAAAAGAATTTACCATAAATATTAAAATTTTGCATGCCATTATTTTGGCAAAACACACCTGTTCCTAACATATTATTTCTACCATCTGTATACCGTGTTTTTCAGCAAATAAAATATATTATTATTATTAATGGTAGGGTTCCAGTGTCCCAGGGTAAAATGGTCAAGTTAATCAAGCTAATCATGGCGCATTTGCTAGGAATTAATCACGATAATTTTAAGGCGAATTCATTGATTAACCTAATGAGAGGCATTGTCTTTATTACTAACAATTTTTTATTCTCTTATAATGTGAGTAGTAGGAAAGGATTTCTGTAAATTCCCATAGGTTTCCTAGTTCGCACATGCGAGGGCACAGGGGACAGATACTTTTTCAATAGGTATAGATAATTATACTTACAGGATCTTTCAAATGGCCACTTTGCTCATCGACAATTGTAAATCTGTCGATTATTTGTATACGAGGCATCGCATCGGGGAGTTGATAGAGGTTTATATTTTTGGAATCAATAATATAATTCCAAAAACGAATTTTCATTTTGTCGGTAATTTGTGAAGAAGTACGTTTCTCTATTCGTCTCCATAATAAATCTAAGGTGATGCCTTCAAGCCCTTCCAAAGCAATTTCGTCAATTATTATATCTTTAAAATTAAACGTAAATTGTTTTTGTGAGTTTAAATCCATGTTTCAATTAGTACATATAGTATTAATTATTCAAAGAATATAGTAATGAACACGATGGGATTCATTTGAGAACTTTATTTAATATTTTTGATTAAAACTAAACTGACAGCAATCGACTGACAGCAGTCGACTGACAGAGCAGACATTGATAGTGATATATGATCACAGATCAAATATTGTATTAAACATTTCCTTCGCTAGATTGTAACCTAAGAACAAGAATTATATAGAAGAAGTTATAAAATTGCCAATTCATAGCAGGCTAGTCTATAGAAAATGTTATACGACCATATAACCCCACCAAGTTCAGATACAACCTCCTTGCATACTTTCTACATAAACTGTGTCGAATATATAATCTAGTAATTTATAATCTAATAATCTAGTATATCTGATTATATAGTAGTAGTAGAATTTGTCATTGACAAATTGACGTATTAAACAGTTTCTATACACTAGCTTGCTCTGAATTAAGAAATATAGTAACCGATGGTGTATCTTTCGTCCTCTTTTTACTAATTAAATTTGCATAAGAAGAAAGGAGGCAACCATGTGATTTACAGTTTTTATTTTATCATTCCTTATATGTAATTCCTTGTTCTTAGCCTAATAATATACTTATTTTTTTATTCATACCAGGCTAGTGTATAGAAAATGTTTGATATGTCAAATATTTGACAATAATAAATTTTATATTATTAGATTATATATTCTACACAGTTTATATAGAAAGTATGCAAGGAGGTTGTATCTGAATTTGGTAGGATGGCTTTTTTTTTATTGGTGTAAATGGTATTGTAACCCCGCCTGCGCTAACGGTATACGCTGGCGGGGCACCAGTAAAGGGTGATAGATGAGAATTAAAACAGGTCAGTTAGCCCATCATCAAAAATTCATCAAGAATTAACCATGATAGTTTCCAGGGAGGACCGCGAGGAGGTCGACCTGGTTGGGTATATCGCTAGTAATGGGATTCTCAGTCTACATTACTAACAATCCCTCTCCCCCCTGGTACGGTGGTTTGGTAGGTGAATTTGCCCGAGCGGGTGGGGGGGGGGAGGGAGAGGGATTATAAGTAATTCAGAATACTAGTCGCATTGCTAGCAATGCATCCAATCGTCTTCTCCACGTAGTCCTCTCTGGAAACCATAGTACTGAATTCCAAGTGTATTTATCACGTTGGGCTAACTGACCTGCCTATATATACCGTTAGCGCAGGTGTAATTAACGTACCATCCATTAAAAAAATATGTTTGTGTATGTTTATGTATCTGTCTGTGATGTCACAACTCCAAATTTAATGTCATTTCTAGTTTTCGATAAAAATATATGTTTGGTTTAAAAAATATTTGTTAGAATCTCCAAGTAATTTGTAGTTATTACATACCTGCCTAAAGGGTACCTATATAAAACCTTAGAGAAAGGTAGAGGCGAAGATTATTTGGAAATAAATTACACAACAACATCAAGTTTCAATATTTTATTTACTAAAGAAAAGGAATACATTTTATCCTTTGCTAAAATATTTAGCATAATATTAATAATTGTTTAATGAGAAAATGATCATAACATTTGAAAACAATGACGAGTAAAATACAAAATCTTTCACCTTCCCGAGGCATAGTGTTTCATATTTTGCAAATCAATGTTTTACAATCTATTTGTTTCTATTTATAAAAAAATTGCACTCTATAAACACAGGCAGCGAATACGGTGTAACAGTTCTATCACTGCATATCTTCTTTGCGTTAATAGTAATATAATTATTTATAAAACTCCTACTTAAATCTATGGAGTGTCTAAAAAGCAAAATAACGCGGTCTTAATAAATTAGGACATTAAACATTTCACCTTACGTATCAATAGGTATATTTAAGAACTTTATGGGAAGTAACTGGTGAAAATACAATAGCTGTTATATTCAAAGAGAAGTACCTAATTATGAGCAGGTCTAAGGAAAGAATTGGAATAAAAATACTTTACTTAATATAATATTAGGTATCTACTGATATTCTGGTTTGTGACTTGAGAGCTGTATGTTGTAGAGAGTATTTTCTGATTACTAATTAATGACGTAGTCAAATCATAATGTCATACGATGAGATTAATACCCTAAACCTTAAAACCTTGTTATGAGAAACCCGGCAATTAAATATCTGTAGACAAAAAACTTTTTTATTTTTTTAGAAATTTAAAATTCCTAAATTTAAAATCTAAATCAGGTGAATGAACGCAGAAATACATTTACCACTGCCTTCCACTGCACAACACAAAGGGTCAGTGACCATATCAATAGATTTCTTTTAGCTTAGGTATATAGCTTGATAGCAAATAATTCCCAAACTTCTTTCTTATGTGTTTTTTTTTTAATTCAACAACTGTTTATTGATAGCAAAGTATGAAATTCAGATTTGACAGAAGAAAAAAATATGTAGTTGGTTCGAAAACAGTAATTTGATTTACCTAGTACTGTTTTTAGCAATCATTTGGGCGAGAGACAGAGATATATTTGCAGTGGTTATCTATTGACTTGACTGCTAAAGTAAAGTTGGTCGAGCTTAGGAGGGATTTCTCTGGGTTGACGTAATAATGAGTATGCTTACAAAAAATGGGGGTATTTATAAATTCTTTATAATCGTACCAGTATGTTTTATCAGATTACACCATGTACAACTGAATAAGGTGGTCATAAGCTATCAACAATCGCAAAAATTACTTCAGACATTTATCTATTTTTTGTGACTTGTATTTTTGATTCTATGTACTGATTATCAAATGTTTCCAGGTATTTCTCAACTCTCAGCGCATTATTTTAAGAATTAGATACATACATAATGACAAAATAATCATAATTGTAAAAGGAGTAGCCATGTGTATTGGCCATAATATATACGAATTTCTTAAATATTATTCTTCCGTTTTAGTTCACATTATAAAAACGGTTATTTAATAATGTAAATTTTTAAAAACGCCCGTGATTAAGTCTATATTAATATAAGACAATATGTAAGATTATACCTACATTAATATTTAAAAAAACTAAATTAAATTAATTAGTTTTTTTACTCCAATTCGTTTCCATAAGTCTCTAAGGGCGGTAGCTAGGTGTGGTACAGAAGGCACACTATAGAAACTACGGCCAAGTAAGTCAAGTGAACGCCGTTACAATTACAGATGCGTTTTAGTAAGTTAGGCACTTCCCATAGTTACTGGCTTAAAGCATTCAATACGGGAGGTGCAATTCCATTGAATTAGAACTTTATTTAGATTCATATATTTTCATACAGATATAAACAACAATAGATGACGCAAATACTCCAATCTATAAAAAATTAAGCGTGCACGTGATCTGTTATTTTAAAAAGGTATTTATCGATATCAAACCCTTTTTTCGCACAAATCTTATTGGACATAAATTTTACGTAAGAATTTTTATTTGGACCATAATTAGGTCGTTTAAGAGACTTTAGGGTCAAAAATTGGCACGCAAAATGCAGTTGCGACATCTATTTGAAATATATGTCTGTAGGCTTTCACCTTAGCTAAAAAAAATAAAGATATATAAATGACAATAAATTGTCACTCTGTATCGGAATCAATCATAGATTGGCAATTTGTCAACCATCTAGTTACAGATCATTTTTATTACTCCATCCCCTTCATCCCTCGCTTTCCATAAAAATAGTAGAAAGTTTAAATAGGTATTTGGTACCTACAGTAATGTTATCTCCGGTTTTAAATGCTATAAGGTTATTGCTATCCTCTCCTCATAGACAAGTGGCAAATGAACCTGTCGATAGATACGTTGTCGCTATCGCGTGGATGAGACATAATGGACGTCTGGCGTATTTTTCTTCCTCATGTGAATACTAATGAAAACAGTTCTATCGACAGATTCGTTTACCAGTTATCCAACGAGGCAGATCTACTAGGTAATCAACGTACATGTATTCTTATTCAAGTTGGTACTACTGTGTAACACAGATATAAAATCATACAAAATAATCAAACATTATGTGCCTGTCCGCTGTTTATTTTACCACGATTTGTAATGTTGGTAGTATTTATTATGGAATAATGGTTATTAAGATACGAAATGCTATTTTATTAAAATTTGAATTGTATAAATCAAGGAATATTACTATTTTGATTTTATAAGAAATCTTGAATCGTTAGTTGTCGTATAGAATCACTAAAAGATGATGACTGAATTGTGACAAACATTGAAAAGGGGATGTTTGATGGTTGGTTTAAATATTTGGAAAGGATGAATGAAAGAAGAATTACGAAAGAGATATTTTAAACGCAAATTAGTAGAGATGCTGGTAGGGGCTGCTTTAGACGGACGAATGTCGACCACATAGGTAAGGTGCTGAAAGTGTTCAAGTAAAGAAAAAGTATTCGTAACTTGCGAGGTAATATGAAATAGATCGATGAATATGGAGGCAGCAAAAGAGGTTTATTGAACCGGAACATTTAGCATTCTATTGTTTTTCTCTACCTCAATGGGAAACTCAGGTGTATATATATGTAGTATATAAATGTGTATCTGAAATTCAAGTAGGTATCTAGGTGCCAATAACAGCTCGCAGTTTCGAAATTTAAAAATACCTAAACAAATTATGTTGTACGAATGGGAAATGAAAAGAAAAGAATATTGCACACACAACAACAAACCAACTCGTTCGTCATTGGAACTCAATCCCATTATATATTTACAATTATGTAAATTATAAGTATGTTGATGTATAGTTTGAGAGTAATGCGATACAATTGTTAATGGTATTACTTGGTACCATAACAGCGTTTCAATAAAGTTGCGTGTTATTATTATTTTTTTTCATTAAATTCAATCCTCTGTAAAATACAGTTACTTAATTCTTTAATTCAATAAAAGTCTTCAATATCTAACACTAAGGCTTCGAGTTCCAAAATAAAATATAAGCGGTCTATAATAAACTACAGTACGATACGTTCTATATAATCCTCAATATATTATAAATCAATAATTTACGCTTATTACAAGAGACTCTAGGCATGTTTATGTTTACATTATCGTTACGAGTATAAAAAGGTGGTTCAGTAGTTTAAACGTAGAAATGGTTATTGTACATTTCATTAATATTTTTAATTACTTAATACAAAAACAATTCTTAACAATTCACCTTCAAAAATTTCTTGCACTTACACACTAACGCTTAATTAATTACTCGACGAAAACTAAATTACATTACAGAACTCGCTATTTACAAGTACTAGCCTCCCTTACGTATGTACGTGTTATATTTTTGTATTTACCGACTATAAAAATGATAACCTTCCCTTTAAATGAATAAAAATCAAGCAAGATATACTTTCAGTCTTGAGTAAGTATCGATCGACGACTTCAATACTAGTGCTCAATGTCAAATATAACTAGAAATGACATAGGTGTAATTTGATGTAAAAAAATGTTTTATGCCGTCGATATAATATCCACAATACTCTTTCTGTCCTAACGCTGGTTATCATTTTTTAAGTCTGTGAATTAAATCCGAACAAACTGGCCGTGTAAAAGCTTTTATATAACGCATGATACATAATAAAAATAAACAGTTACGTGTGCGTTTACTTTGGTTATTTATAAAATAAGTAATATACGAATTGGCAGTTACATTCATAATTAAAAATAACTATTAATTTTATTAAGTAATACGTTATTATTAGCAATTACTACTATAAATAAATAATTTACATCAAAATCATGGCATCTTTGGTACGTATAATAATAATGTTAAATAAAAATAATTGTGAGTATTACAAAGGCAAACTTGCGAATGCCTTTTTATTATTATGGTTTATAACATTAGTTTTGCATTCCAATAACTTTAATGAGATCGACGACTTGTATTTATACTCACTTTGTCTTTGTTGTGACCCCATTAAAGATGTTAGACAGCAAGTATTCAACAGTCGTCTACTGTATTTGCTAATCTAGTGGCTTCTAATGCTTGCTCTAACATCAGTCCAAAACAAAAATGAGATATTGCAATTTACAAATTACAATCCTGTCGCGTATACTTAGGCACTAAGTCATTACAAATAGAATTGACATTTTCTTTACACACATTCAATTGTCAACAATGAGCGAAGATGAGTTTGAACACTATTCATTACTCAGGGTTTAAAAAAAATGAGGACTAGCTAGATTACAAAGAAAGTTTGCTTCTTTGAAACACACGAGTGTACGCATTTCATATTACAAAACAGCAACAGGAACGTATTTTTCTTTATCGAGAAAGGAGTTTCTAACGTTTGGCCCACTTTTCTGGAAATTTAAATTTAGAATCAACAGTAGATTAAAAAGGAAATGTTTTAATTTAATGTCACAGAATGTATGTACACAATGATCACAGTTACACATCGTAACCTTAAAATGATGCACCAACAATCTAAATTGGCAATGTGGCATCACAGTGCCCTCTTATATTCTATGTATCTATGTATACATAAACGCTAAATCTATAACATTATCGAATAATTATCAAAACGATCTCCTAATAATCTAAATACACCCATAAGAAGCACTTTTTAATGAATGAATAAGTATCAGAACTTTACATATCATTTATACATGGTAAATATAATTTATATCATATTTTGTGTCTCATAATGTTCATTGGTTTCAACCATAATGTTATAATCATCGTTTATTCTAGTAATAACCTGACAACACTTATAATGGCACTCGCTTCGCCTTCTCGTTAAAAGGAAATGTTTTTTGTTTGGAATTATATCTACATCGTGTGCCGTCATTAGTGTTGTCCAGTTACACTCGTATTATACTGCTAGAACTTTAGAATAAGAGAATCATTCCTATATTTAATGACGTAATACTACAAATAGTAGGTATGTAAAAAAGCGACATGTGAACTCATTACAGTTTTTATAATGACACGGTTTCTTTACCTATCTATCAAAATATCTGAAGTCGGTTATAACAATTGAAAACTACAGGTGTACTAAGCCCTGGGACTATAGGACAGGCAGTTTGTTAAGTGAATATAAAATCTGCAATGAGTGACACAACTTCACATTAACTATTCATCAACATGTTACCAACAAAAACTTATATTTTCACCTAAATTATTTGTAAACTATGTATAATCTAAACAATCTACAATTTGTTACATTATTCATCTTACATACATCAATCGATAATATTGTTCCGTCTTTTAAAAAAAATACATATTTTTCACATTTCTCCCGACCACGAGATACGATCAATTTAGTTTGTGGATTATCACCAGTACGTATATATTTATTCAATGGAAGAGAGTATATGATCACATTTTGTTTTGTGACTATATTTTAGAATCCACATTACTTATATATCCTTGTGTCATTCTAAGCGCACTCAATAGTGACTCGAGAGGTGCGCTTGTGACATAGGTTTTAATTACAATGTAATAGGCAACATTCTTGTACGAAGTCGTATCCACGAATCTTTAATTCATCTATTGGGAGGGTCATCGTTCAATTGAGGAAAAGCAACCTTCATTATAATGCCATTCGAATAACAAACATTGCACTTTCGAATTTGGAATGTTAACGTCCATAGTCATTTTTAAATTTGGAACTGTATGTTCATTCGATTAAAGTACAGGGGCGAGTAACTCGTGCCAGTGAGGGGAATGCGGGGCGGCGCGCTAGTTGCGGTAGATGTAGGCGCATGGCTGCGGCGCGGGTGGTGGCGGGGTGGGGGGGCGCTCACCCGACGGCGACGGGGAGGACGACGGTGGCGACGGTGAGGACGAAGAGCCGCCACCGCTCGCTGACCCGGAACCCGAGCCGCTGCTGCGCTGTGACACTGGAGAAACATGGGGAAGTTGTAATACTTGGTTACAGATTTTTTTTAGATTATTTAACATTGTAGACAGATTATTATTAATTAGATTATTAATTTAAAAGTAATTTTCTGTCATTTTTCCAAAGCTGAGAAATAAATTATTTATAAAACAACATTAAGATTGAATACGATTTTTATTTTAGAATTAAGTTAGAATAGGGCAGATAAATTATTTTTGTACGGCAGAGGTAATATTAAAACATTTTCCTGTAATGTTGTCGATTGTTATAGTTAAGGTGCATACCTATTCGATTCGTCATAGTTTACTAACCATTAATATAGATTTTAGGTAGTGCTGACGCGGTATATTGTATTTATTGGATTTGTTCAGAGAAAGTATTTGAAAAATTTACCATCGAATATAAGATGTCTTATAATCATGAATTTCGTAACGTAATTGGAAGCTCATTACTAATAGCTGAAGGCTGAATTCCGTTTTGGACGGAAATTAAAATAGGGGATATTTTCCCCGTAGTTGCTACGATATAAGACAGTACACCATGGTTATATTAGATACAAAACTCTTATGTCACTCACCCAACGTATGATGGTGGTGCGTATTATGTTTATGGTGATGCATTTGATCGCGCGCGTCCGCCCCGCTTGTTTCTCAGAGGTACACTTTCTTCACTGAGCGCGTGGTCGAGAAGCCGTTGTCGTTGCCGCGCCTGTACCCATCGCCCTGCGGTCCGAATATTCCTGTGTTAACTAACATGCTGCGATGAATATGCGTGCGTGAGTAAATGGAGCTGGTGAAAGGTTATTAGCAAATTCGAATATTCGCCAGTTTCAGGTGAAATATATCTAAATTGATATTTATATGATCCATTGTAATTAAAGTATGTTACATATGGATTGTTTTTTTATATTACACAACCAATGACTTTACTTAAAGGAACTTTACTTTATATAAAGGAAGTAGTTGAATTAAATTGTTGAAACTGACGTATTATTCGATATTGTAAAATGATCAAGCAATGATATGATGATATGAATTATGAAATAATGATTAATCGAAATGATCGACATATCAGTTGCTATGAAATCATGCATGGTTGTTAATGACTAAATCAAGAATGGATGAAAACAATGTTATGGTTATTTCATTATAAGCTACATTAAAGTTAAAGATATAAAAAATGGTTAAAATGATGATACTGGTGTTGAAGAAAGAGCGAGTGTTATGTTAAGTCATGCAAGAGATAAAATATTTTTTTATGCAACTTAGAATGGCATACAAGCTGACGGCCCACTTGATGGAAAGGAGTAACTGTCGCCTATAGACATGAGCAATATCATGGATATAATAAAGAATACTTTCGCTCATGATACCCCCATGAGTTGCCAATCCTGAGGACTCAGGTGTTAATTCTGTATCCTGTAAATTCATTGCCATATCCCACCCTTTAAATCGAAACACAGCCATGCGAACACAACTGTTTCACGGAAGATACACGAATGGGACAGAGGCGCCCAAGCAAATGACTTTTGTACAAAGTTTTCCTCTGGTATATCGTATATATTGTTTCTACAATGGTAGGATTGTTTCTCTTTAGAGCAGGACCAAATTCGACCTATAATTTTTAATAACAAGCTTATGGATTGCTGTATATTGTTGTCTTAATACTCTATACTTACTAATAATACAAATGTAAAAGCGAATTTGTTTGTTGGTTACCTTATAATGTTTTAACGACTTAGCTACTCGTAATACTATGAAATACTATGAAATTTGGTAAACATGTACTGTATGAGATGAAAACGGAAATAGGCTACTTTTTATCCTGATTAGTCCACATATCTCGGTCACGCGGACAAAGTCGCGACTATAAGCTAGTCTATAATAATAACATTTGATATTGTAGCTATTAGGTAACAGTTTATTGTAAAAATTCGTATTTAGGTGATACTTAGGTGTAACTTGTTGGATGGAGTAGTTAGAGAATCTCAAAAATTATAGCAGTATACAACAATTAAAAATAAATCTAAACTTATTATATTAATATAACTAGAGAGTGAATATATCTGTATGGAAAATATGAGATTTATGTGTAAAATTTAATGTTCCTTAATTCAGAAATTTTACTGTCAACATAAGATCAGTTAACATGGTTTTTGTTTTTATCTATAGGAAAGTATTAATTTTTAATCTGAAAAAGAAATTCAAGCCATGCAATAGAACAAAAGAATACAACTGACATTAACCTGATGAGAGCGTAGAGTTCCGAAGTTGTCGCGTCTGTACGCGTCCGGTTGGAACTGGAACAGCGTCTCGTGGTGGGGATGGTACGGGGGATGCTTCCGGAGTGTGGCGCGGGGAGACGCCGGTTTCGGTTGGGGTGCTAGTACTGGTTCAGCATACGTCACTTCTTCTACTTGTTGGAGAAGTTTTGGCTCTGCTTGAATTCTGTGAAAATATATATTTGGTTGTATGGTATTGTATGGTACATAATTATTAGTGGAATAAAATTCTTTCGCTGATACAACTAAAGTAAAACGTATAAAGTGACACTGGAATAGTTAATATGCTATAAATATTCAGTTATTGAATTTATAACAAATAAACGATATATCTATCCATCTATCTATCTATTATTGCAAAAGGTGTCTCGATCTATTCTGACAAAAGTAATTTAGGAGGGATTAAGTATGAATGAAAATTTGGAATGCACTAGATTATAAAAAGGCATTCCGATTTTTTACTGGTATAACTTATTAGTTTTAAGGTGAATTCAGATTAAATAGCTACTTAATGCTTGATTATTAAATGAATAAAAAGTCGCCCGATTTAATATTCAACAAACCTGTTAATATTCTGTCTCTGCTCGAAATACTCGTACTCGGTGTCTGGGTAGGGCATGTTATCATCGTCGTCCTTCTTGCAGCGACGGCCGCAGACGTAGCCGGCCGCGAAACCAGCACCCAGCGCTGCCAGGGCGCCTGCCGCCACCGCCAGCGCCAGTGTTTCAACAGAGTACGCAGCCGGTGGTGGATCCGCTGCTAACACTTCTGGACCTTATAATATTTTTAGATGTTATTTTCATTAACGCTTGTCATTTGTAAACAAATTTTTCATAAGACTTATAAAAATGTTTTTTCATTGGCTCCGACAAGTATAGTAGTAAGAAAGATATTTTAAGGAGTCTTAGGGGAATAAGTAAAAAATAGTAATAACTAGTAAAAAATAAAGTAGATATTTATAAGTACCTTCATTGTTGTTACTGCCTCCTTTGCCGTCTTTATCTTGTACAATATTGATGACTTCTCCCTTAGTTTCTCTGGCATCATCGTAAAGCCCTGAACTCAGACCACCCACAGCGCCAGCATCCTTACCTAAAATAAAAGTAAATTGGAGTATTTTTTTTTTAATTACAATAAAATTACGAATTGGATTAAAGAATATTAAAACTTTCTTGTACAGTGCAGGTAGAGTTTTGTGTGATTAGTCTGTGTATGTAATCAAATGACAGTCATTTATAGATTTCCAAAATCCTCTAGATATGCATTGTTACATACATAACCTGTACAAAATCAATTTTAGTGTGTAACTTTATATACAATTGTAATTAGGGAATCTAGATGTGATTATGAATTAATGATGCTGACTGTAATACCTATTTTCCTATTTCGTTTTGCGTAATATATATAGTTGTTTTTGTTATGGGAGTAATCTCCATAGAGACCCTATTTATTTATGGATAATATGGATGGTTTAGGATTTTTTTGTTATACTATAAGAAGGGGAGAAATGGAGCTACATACTGTGAGGGCAGGCAGTATGACTGCCGGTGCTGACGCTTTGGTAGAATGAGTTCTCGTCGAGCCATCGGCTGACGCCATGAGAGTACGCTCGGCATCGACCCGCCTGCTTATCCCACGCGCAGTATGGATCTTGCAGTGCCACGCACTCACTGAAACGACAAGGTTTACACGTTAAAAAAGCAATTTTATCTTTTATAATTATTATAGTCATTATGCCCAAATAAATATAAAATAATTTTTTACTTAAATTGGTTTAAAAAGAGAGACTGCTAAATTTTCTTGCGAGTTCTCAGATAATGTCCAGAATCTAACATTAGAATCGTACAAAAATGACGATTTAAATGAGATTTCTGCTTGATAGCTTAAATTCAAATTAAAATCTGACTGTATAATGTATACATGATTAAAAGCATGTACGATATTTTGCCATAAGTAATATAAGAAGTACCAGCTTCTAAACTAAATTCCAAGACTGAAGGAGGCTAAATGAATATCCGGGGGAATATTTTTAAATGTTAAAATACTCACGAGCAAGAGCTGATTTTATCACTGGAACATCTATGTAGCCTCAAGCTGAGGACTTCTCGGTCGGAAACCGCTATCAGTCTAGCTGCGTCCCGACCAGCTCGGGCCACTCGCAGCGCCCGCACTGGAGAGCCGGTCGCGAACGCCTGTAACTCCTCGATCACCACAGGCACTGCTCGCTTGTTCGAGTCGTAGGAGACAGCGTTGATTGCTTTTATGATTTTGCCATTATCTGTAACAAGTGGATGTTACTTAGATGATAAACGCGGGTGGTATTAGTTGATCATGCATGGATATTTAAATGTTCAAGGACCATGTTATTTTAGACAGTTGAATTAAATTTATATCAGTCGTTAACTGTCCACTGTTAGACATAAGCCTTCCCCATGAAAAGAGGTTTGTTAGTAGTTGCTACGCTTGGCAGGCGCGTTGGCAATCGCAATCTATCCCTCGCCTTCCTTTAGTCGCCTGATACGACACCCACGGGAAAGGAAAGAGTGGCCCATTCTATGCCGGGGCACACACGGCAATTTTGTTCTTCAATTAAATAAATGCTCATAATGTAACAGATCTTTTTACCATTTTATGATTTTACCATTGCGTAAGATATAATTGGTGAATTGAATATATTATATAATGATGTTTATAGTAGAAATCTTATACTAATGATGATTCGGTAAATACTTATGGCTCTGACAACCACACTTCTGATTAGTCACGAGCAAGTTTTTTACCATATGTAAAAAAATTATATTTATTGATTTAGTTAACAAACCAATTAATACGAAACTAATAATATCCACAAAAGTTATGTTTTCTAAAATGTTCATAGAGGTTATAACATTCCTTTCTATTGAATATATACAGATACTATTTGTAATAATTAGATTTAAAAGTTGTATAATTATTTACCTGTGCCAATAAATAGCACGTCATATGCTTTCCCGCCTGGTGTTTTCACTTGAGGATCTACGGCGATTTGCGTAAATCGATAGCTGTAACACAAATTATGGTAATTAGTTCGTAAAAGAGATAAAAAAAAATAAGACAAAGTGTATAAATGTTTGCATACATAAAATCACACTTATTCACTAGGTAATATTAATTAATATAAATTACAAGACATAATTTAATAATGATACAATTAAAGTAATCGTCATCTTATCAGCCGTTAACTGTCCACTGCTAAACATAGCTCTCCACCATAGACTGCCCTTGTATTTACTATTGATGGGAGGGCGGGTGGTTGCCAGTCATTGCTACGATTGGCGGGTGGGTTGGCAAGCGCAGTTAGGCTTTTGTGATGTTTTAAGCGGAACGCTGCTGCCCATCCTTTTATCATTAAATTCCCTTATTCGCCTCTTAAGACACCCACTGGAAAGGAAGAGTTGGTCCATTCTATGCCGGGGCCATACGGCAATAAAGTGATACTCACTGAAAACTAGTCCTTATAACTATTGGTTCCCCAAAGAAGGCAGGAACAGATTCGTCCATCAAAGCATGAGCTTTGATGAAGTTGAGCGTTGGGTCCGGCAATTGTCTCGAGTCGTTGTGACATGTGCCTGGACGGGGTTCTGGCACCTATAACAAAAGAAGTACTTAAAAAAAGGACCTTCAAAATGGTTGTATTAAGGATTTATCAGTTTCGATGTTAAAGCTGTCCTTACGTACAATAACTATTTACAATCAGACGGTTCGTATACTAGTTTGCCACTTTTTTGGCATAAATACTGTGGCGTAAGGCTGCCTATGCTCGATGTTTCTTGTTGTTCTCGATGTTTGATTGCAAAAGTTGAGAACTTTTGATAAAGTTTGGGTATGTGAATGTTGAGCTGAAATCATGTTTATGTATTAATTTTTATTCCTTTTTATGGTTTTCTGGTTCACTTTAAAAGGACTATTCCAAGTTGTTGGTAACTAATACAGATGTTGTATTGCAATTTCTAAAAGCTGAGTCAATGCAGTATCTTATACACTCTAATACAGTGTGCTAAAGGACATATCGACGCAAACACATCTAAAATTGACTTAAGTTTTGATTAAAGATAAACAGTTTTAAAAGTTCTGGAAGAAAAATATTTTTCTAGATTGGAGGTAGTTCTATAACATATTCTACAGCTACTTTTGTTTTTTTTCTGTCTGGATTATTGATGTCTGGATCAGATACATGGTCAACATTACTTCATTTTATTGTTAAGAGTTTTGTAAGTACACATTACATTTTAATGTAATAACGTAAGTTAATCTGGTCATTATTAGATTAAAATTATCTTATCTAGAAAAAAAAAGGATACATAAATATACTCTATAACTAATTACCTTTGCACTATTAACTGGTAGCCAGTTGGCGTTGAGAGCGCTTTGCTCCTTAAAGGTGCCTTCGAAGGTATCAGCGATGTCTTGCATGCTGAACGCGCAGACAGCACTCCCCGATATGCTGTTCGGAGGAGTCGTGAATGTTCCGTATATCAGTTGAGCGTTGAGCCCACCGTATACTCCTTCTATAAGCTCTGTCGTTGATTCTAGAAAGATCCAAATATTTTGTCATTTACCTATTAGAGTTTTATGATAGACACATATTGATGAGTTATGTTTATTAGAAAACCTGATAAACTGGGTGTGAATTATTTAAAATTAGTGGTCACCATCTAAAGACATTGTATACCTGAGATATACCTAGAGCTAGTTATTCAGGCATTGTTGACTTTTGGAGTTTTATCGCTTCGGGTCTTCTAAATGATTAAAGAACGATGTATATTGGTTTACTTTTTAGGCTATTTTATACTCCTTAGTTTATATTTATCCATTGCAAGCTCTAGTTCTCTGGATATAATTACGGATTGCAACTAAAGTGTGAGTAAAAGCTTTTATTTTTTGATTAGGGAGATAAGTATCATTTTTACTTATATTTTTTTCAATACGCCGACGAAAATGGAAGAAAACTGGAAATAAAATCTATAACACGTTGATTGTAGACAACTCTTTTTAACGGAAAGGATAAGTGCTCTGCAATGGGATATTAATGGACTATTAAAGTGAGAGAATGTAGTACTTACGAATCTCGTTGAAGTAAAACGGAAAGTCGCCGGCGACGGAGCAGTTGAGCCGCGACTTGAGGAAGGATGTCCATCTTTGTTTGAAGCGGTGGGGGCCGCCTCTATCGTCTCGGCACACTCGAGCCACGCGCGAGAATACCGACTGTAATATATATAAATATATATTAATTAATGTAGTTATTAAACAATTTTTTTAGATATTCTAAATTAAGCATACTCGAAATTACGCGTGTCATTTTTGTTTTTTAATTTTAATATTTTCATTATGAAAGATAAGAAACTGTCCTATATAGGGAAACAGTAGCACAAGTGTCTAGCTGTAAGCTGTAATTGACTGAAGAGATTTCGAACTCTAAATCACTCCAGAATGGCGCTAGAGTAGCAAGAAGGTATGAATTTTTATTTAGCAGTTGTTAATGGAGTGAAATACGTCGAATTAAGAGTTTTAATATCTTTAATTACTATTTAATGTATAGTTAAAAGTTAAATATATTTTTTTATTTTTTTTTATTTTGTTTTTTTTTTTTTTTATTTAAACGTCTGCTATTAAATAATAGAATATTTGCTTCCATTAAAATGTACGCGCCTGCTATGGTAGTGTTACCTAATTTAACGCCTTTTGACGGACTCTTTTTTATACACAGAGATGGTTCTCTTTACCTTCATAATTTTTATATTCTTATTCACACACACAATGATGCACAAAAAGTTTGGTTTTTAGTTAAACGTTTGTAGCGAAACAAATTGTCAAGATATATATCATCTTATATAATAAAGTGTATATAGGTATACTATAGTTAATAAATATAATATAGTTATTAAAGATTAACTTTGGTATTTTTTCTAGTATTAACAATTTAATATTGAAATTTGCATTGATATTGTAATATTGCATTGATAATCACCTTTCCACAGTTTATGTACTCCACAGCTGTTTCTCGAAAGAAAAAATACACGAAATTTCCGTGCACTAAAGAGTTCACGAAATCCGGAGCTGAAAACAAAACGCTTAAAATTAATTATTTTATTGATGTGGTTTTAATACTAAAATGTTTATATACCTATTTAAACTTAATAGTTGCTAGCGAACAGTTAATAAATGTTTATTTTTACCTATTTGTATACTTTTTGTCAGTTAAAACGACAATTAGTTGACGAAAAATTGACCCGTTTTTGAGGCTCGATTCTCTATCTATATAATCTTAGGCGTTGTATTTGCATTGCATTTGTAAAATCTTTTACATATATTATCGTTGAATTTCATGATTTCACCTTTCGTGTTTCTTAATTATTATATCTTTAGAAAATAAATAAATTTTCCGCATCAACCATCAAGATACAACAATAATAAGATCAGAAATAAGATGTGACTCGACATAATGAGATTACACACGTGTATACGTATAGGTATATTCCGTATGGAAATATGGGGTTAAGATGGAAACAGAATAATATCTTCGAGCGTCAAACAGATTATATTTCGATTATCAAACTTACTAATCGAGGATATTAACGCTAATAGAGATAATCGTAAATTCATCACTACAATGTGTAACGTATTAATCTAATACTTCATTAATATGCAGACGTATATAACCCTATCGCCGCGCGGCGATAATTTTAATACGATCCTAATCCGATTTGCCGTTTGTTGACACGTCAAACGTCAGCGATGACAGCGAGTTGCCAGGAGCCCGGTTCTAAATTCAATTAAATTGACGGATGTATGTTTGACGGTGGCATTCGGAAGCAATCGGGTGTGACGGACACGTAAACAGAGTAGTTGGGCAAAGTAAATACGTTACGCGTTCATATTTCCAAAGGAAATCACGCCCAGACAATGTTGTAAATACTTTTTTTTTATTATTGTATAATAGTCATCATATCAGCCTTCAATTCTCCACTATAGAACATACGCCTCACTCTTAGAGAGTTTTGCCAATAGTTGCTACACTTGGCAGGCGGATTGGTATTCGCAGTCAGGATTTAGAGATGTTTTAAGAGGGACGCTACTGAGGGACATTCCTCGCTCTCCTATTCTACACCGGGACCATATGGCCAAGTGTATATAGTATTATAGTAATTTAACCTATTTATAACTTAAAAATGGCTGTCTTGTTTAACTAATTCAAATTTAATAGGTATATTTAGTTTCAATAATATATTGTAATCCACCATGTTTATACAAAGAGGATATTCTTTATATTTAAATTACATTATCAATAATGACATGTAAGAATAATTGGGACCAAATAATTGAAATAGCTATAACATATTATTCAAATTCCATACAGATGAATACGTGGTTATTTATAGTAGTCCTTTAATAATATTAAATGAATTGTATAATTTATATTATATGGCGTACATCGGAGCACTTCATAGAAGATAAGTTGGTAACCATCCGCGATTGTCACAACAAGAAAACGAATGTTCGTGTAATATGCATGCAGCTACTATAGCATACTATTAAGTATAAAAAATTCTGTGGTGGATAGATTAGGTGCTAGTTACTACTAAATGGACCCATAAGTCGCTGTTTTGCTATATAACTTAGTCAAGATAGCCATATAAACGATATGGAGTCCTCTATACAAAATTTTGTAACTCAAACTTTGCAATATGATAAAGTGAAGTACAATGGTCACGAGTGAAAATATATCTACGAAATGCTACGAAAAGAGATACGAAAGATCGCCAAGATGAAGCAATAATGAGTCTGAATAGCTTGAAGAAATGATAATCAGGATAAGAGGGGGGAAAAAATCATCTACTAGATGGAGTGATGACCTTGAATTTGTTGCAAGGAATCAATAGGTGTAATTTCTCAGGATCGTTTTACGTGGCCGTTAATGGGGGAGAGACATGTTCAATAATGGATAATGAACGATAAATGTAATGATAAAAACGAATAATTGACAAATGTTGACTGGTAGGGAGTGTTACTAGCATTAAGTCGGGTTTTTGTACCTTATTTTATTTTGGTCAATAAAAATATTTAAGTACATATATCAATTGTAGGAAAAATCATGAAATTGAAATGTATAGATAATTTATATTGTATGATAATTTAATTTGAGAATAATTTATTTGACAGTATGAACATGTAAATCATCATAATTTGGGATACCTCTCTATCTCTATCTACATGTAATGGGATGGGATCTACACGTAAATTGGACGTGACTTGATGACGTCAGAGTAGAGTAGAGGTACCTAAAATATATTGACAATTACACACATGAGAGCAAACGTGAATTGTAATGACCCGATTAAATATTTATTTGCAGATATTAAATTTATCAGCGGAATCGATATAATTGGTAATTGATGTGGTAAATGAATGTTATTAAAGTATATGTTGAAATATGTATATTTAATTTAATAATAATTGCAATTATATTACTCACTCATACTATTTTTTCTAGATCGTTATAGAATTATGTTCAGTTTTATTTGAAAGTTCGAATTATGAAATTTTAGAATAATTATTACGATTGATATGACAGAATACTTATAAATTATTATTCATTAGTTTAATTTTTATTTCTGAATTGTAATATAAAGTTCTTGAGGCCGAATATGATTGATGGGACAGAGTATAATAGAAATAGATATTACATTAATAAATATTACTTTAGATATTGAAGACAAATTTACAGATGTATAGAAGATTATTCTTTAATTCAATTATTAGTTACAACTTTTAAGTATTGATTTTTTGAGGTATGAAAATTGGAATTCGAATACCGTTTATTATATTTTAAAGATTATATAAAACTTTAAAAAAGGGTTCTAGGACATTTAAGCTATATCGAGGTTACTAACAAATTGTACACCTATATAAATTTGCAGTATTTAAAAGAATAAATTATATATGAGTAAATATATAAAGTTCAATTTATTTAAAACATCATAAACCCAGCTAGATTATCAAGAAAGTGTAAAAATATAAAATAGAGTTCCTCAAGTAGATACGAACAAACATTTTTTTGTGTCCTGAAATATATAATTTGAATCGTTCCAAATGAGGTATCCCTGAACAGCTCTCTTGAATTGTAATTGAAAATGTCAAAGGAGTTTTTTTAGTCGAGTATCTCTTGTTACCTTTGTGAGATATGAGTCCTCAGTTTCTTTTTTTTAGGTACAATATAAAAAAATGCTCACTCAAAAACATTAATAATGTTTAACATCTTGTTTATTTAAACTCATAGTTTTTTGTGAAGACGGTTTTAAAAATTAAACCTTTTATTTATATATATATATATATATATATATATATATATATATTGGTATATTTCAATGATCCTTTATAATTATAATATATACCTATATACCTATGTCACCTAATCTAAATCTCTATAAAGATTTGTCCAGTATGTTTCTTATTATGACTTATCTACTTGCTTGCAGAGAAATCATGTAAATATCGGGAAAGAGAATAGATAGACTGGTGTTGTTTTGTATCAAATAACACCAGTCTATCTATTCTCTATATTGAAGTCGAGTCTTTCGAAACCGAAATGTATGCTGAGACGAGTTATGAAATTGGATGTAGCAAGAGATAGATACATCTCAAGGACAGAGGTTTTTAACATTTAGAGGCAGAGAGAACGCTCCCTACTTCGCAATTTTGTGCGAAAAGAGATATATAACTTACCATTTAAAGTCATTGAGTCGTAAGGTTCTGTTTGCAACGGCTCTCGGTATATAATTGGCTCCATACCACTGAAGTCAGCGACTGTACCCGAGTATAATTCTCCATCTGAAAATAAAAGAAAATTAATATATAATAATAATATAATATATACATTTTTTTATACAACTTATAATGGCAAACAAGCTGACGGCCCGCCTGATGGAAAGTGGTAACCGTCGTCTACAGACATGAGCAGTACCATGGACATAACAGAGTATACTGTTTCACCCATGATACCCCCCAAGCGTTGTCATTGCGTTGCCTCAGGTTTTATTCCTCTGTACTCTGTAAATTGACTGCCATATCCCACCATTCAAACCGAAACACAGCCATGCAAACACAACTGCTTCACGTTAGATAAATATAGGGTCATAGATAAATACATTCTAATATTATAAATGTGAAACGTTGTAAATGTGTTTACATATTTGCTACTTAACTACGGATATACGGCTCAACGGATTCGAATAAAGTTTAGTACACGGGTAGGTTATATCCTAACTTAACACATAGGACATCATATGATATATTGATTAACGTGGGCACTCAAGGGAGACATCTTATTAATTAATAACATGAAGAGTCGGTGGATTCAGATGTTTTTTAATGATTTTTTGTCGTACTCTACCGCGAAGGTCTATATTGAACAATAATAATTAATAGCTAAAATGATAACGTTCGAAATGATTAACGATATGTAGGTGCTGTTCTGAATTTTACTATCAGTTACTACATTGATTTAATGAACCTTATATTGAAATGCGGCGAGTAAGTACGTTAAGAACTTAAATTTTGACAAAATTAAAATTAAAATATTGTATTTAATTACAATAATTTATTAATAAAATAAATAACAGAGATTTATTTATACGTACGTAAACAAATATTGCAACGACTTATTTATTATATGACACAATTTTATTTCAATTTTATTTGTGATAATCGTATTAAGTACTAAAGTGGTGCCATCTATTCCGTCTGAAAACCGATAATTCGATAGAAGCGATCACTAGCACTGCATAATATACCTCTGCTATTCGTTTTACGTGATCAGAATATTGGGGTCTGACTAGAATAAATTAACTACATAGCTACACATATTTAGTATTCGTATCTTTCAAAAAATCGGCCGAATATTTTCTAAATTTGACATTGCAAAACTAAATTAACAATTTAAATTGTTATTAATATTCTTATTTATTTTTTACAAAGTCGCTATGCACACGCATAAAGGTGCCAGTCAGACAGATGTGTTTTCGATATCTTTAATTGTTAAAAAAAATATAAAATATTTTATTTTTATAATTAATCATTCATGATCATATCTTGATATCGAATGACCTATAACTTTAATCAAGAAATAAGTTAAAAAATGCAACCAATTTTTTAAATCAGACTGACAGATCAAGTGATTAGCGCGTTCAAACAAACCAATTTTTTAGCTTTATATGTGTATATTACTATAGAATAATAATAATAACTTAATAATAACTTTATTGCATAACCATGATTTTAACAAATTCAGCACTAGAAATTACAGTAAAAGTAGATACGAATTCATTTGTACATTTGGATCAGTTTAAACATCTGTGTCTGAACTAGGTTATAAAACCTGTATCTCAGACAACAGCGCTCAACCCTCATTATATAGTATAATGTTAGTTCAGCTAAATTTTTAGTGCTACATATAGAATATTGATATTATATAAAGTTAGTATATCTAATTATAACAATTGGCAATAATGAAAATTGTGAAATAATGTGCTCCCTGTGTGTAGAGTGTAATTTGAATGTATGTGTGTGGGAGAGTGTGTAAAATTATTTGTATGTTACTGTAATATTATTTAAATAATTTAAAGGTTTATCTTGAATTTAATTGTACAATATTATTTTAATTTATGTATCTATTAGTAGTATTTAGTAGTAGTTGTATTTTATTATATTTCATTTTTTAATAGATTTTCCGTCTCATCGTAGTTCTTTTCTTTCAACCAGTCTACCACTCTGTCCCTACACTCTTTTCTATTTAAAGGATATATATTAAGAATTCTATTAAGTTTATTATATAAATGCGGACCAAGGTAACAAAAGAATCTATTTGTGAAGATATGTTTAAATGCTGGTATTGTACATATTTTATCACTGCGTCTTTTTTTGACATTATTATTATTGAATGGGGTGTGTGTGTGTTGCTTTTTTATAATACTATTTATAAAAATTTGTCGAACAGTTAAGACTGCACATGATCGATATAGAAGATGCGTTGAGAAGTAAATTGGGCGAAAGGTACTGACCTTAAGAATTGCCCTTTGGGCAATTTCAAGCTTAATTAATGAAGATTTTGAAGCTCCGCCCCAGCTAGATACACAATATGATAATATTGATTCAACTAAAGACACATATACACGCTTAATGATCAGTACATCTGCAATATATCTTAATTTTTTAAACACATAAATAAGTTTTCTAAGTCGTGTTACTAAGAGTTCTATATGACATTTAAAATTCAGATTAGAATCTAGCATTACTCCTAAATATTTTAAAGAATTCGTCTTTTTTAGTAAAGGGCATTTACAATTTGATTTATTTGTGTTATTACAGCAATGCGCAATTAGGTTAAATTGTGATATATTGTTTTTTGATTTTCTAATGGAGAAATTAATATATGTTGTTTTTTCCGCATTCAATGTTAAATGATTGTTAAAAAGCCATTCAGAAACTACATTAAAGCCTTCTTGCGCAGATTGATAAACTTCATTCCAAGAATTAGCTGAAAACAAGAGTGCTGTATCATCCGCATAAGAAACTATTTTACCTCGATGAAGACAGAGATCACAGAGATCATTAATATAGATAAGAAAGAGTGTAGGGCCGAGAATACTTCCCTGCGGGATACCATGAGTAATTGCAAGGTCTTCACTGAAGTGTTTATCTATTTTTACACACTGGTAACGGTTATTTAAATAGTCACTTAAAAGTTTCAGTTCTGTACCTCGAATTCCCATTATTTCCAGTTTATGTTGTAAAATCTGTAATGAGACCGTATCGAAAGCCTTTGCGAGGTCAATAAAAATACCTAGAGTTTTTTTACCGCTATCCAAATTTTTGACTATCCAATCAGTTAGTTCATGAACTGCTTCATCAGCTGATTTGCCTACACGAAAGCCAAATTGGTTTTTAGAAAGCAGATTGTTTTGTTCCAGATATTTAACTAACCTAACATTTATGATCTTTTCTAGCAATTTAGATATTGCAGGAAGTAGAGAAATTGGTCTAAAATTTTCAATACAGTCTCCCCTACCCGATTTATGAATAGGAATGATTACCGATTTCTTTAGTACCTCCGGAAAAATGCCATCCCTAATACATTTTTGAAGCATGTACGTAAGAGGCGGAATAAGGATGTCTTTAAATTCCTTAAGAAGCCTGATTGGTATTAGGTCCCATCCCACTGATGAAGAGTTTTTTAATTCCATTATAAGTCTCTCAATCTCATTAGAATCAGTATCTAGAAATACAAAAGACTCACGGACAGAGGGCAGAGCTTTCACTAGCAGAGACATCGCACTTGCCCGTGAAACAGAAGTGAATTTTGAGGCAAGATTTTTTCCTACATTAGCAAAATAGTTATTAACCCCATTAAGAGACTCTTCAATGTTAGTTTTATTTAGCAATTCACTAGTGTCACTTATGGTCCTTGTACAGCTTGTAGCCTTTTTTATAGCACTCCATAGCCGTTTGCTGTTTTTACCGGCTTTCTTAATTTCTAATTTTTCATACTCTATTTTTGCTCTTTTTAAAGTCTTATTACAGAAGTTTCGGTAACGTTTATACGAAATTTTGAGTATTTCATTACCAGGATTCTGTTTTAATTTTTTATTCATATTGTCACGATTACGCAAGCATCTTAATAGACCCGGAGTTAACCAAGGTTTAATGAGTATATTTCTTCTTGATACTTTTGTAATTATAGTATTTTCAATTACAGCGCGATGTAGACTACGTACAAAGTATGACATGGCAAAATTAATATCGCATGAATTATATATTACGTTATAGTCTATTGTCTGTAAATTTGATCTAATTCCTTCATAGTTAACTCTAGTAATTTGGCGTTTAACTTTTATTTTGTTTAATGAGTGTTGTAAACATAATAAAACCGCTTGATGATCTGTTAGAGTACTATTCAAAACCAATGTAGTAGCAAATGAATGTGATTTTAAAATTACGTGATCCAGGCAACTTTTGCCTTCACGCGTAGGTAACGTATGAGCCGGTAATAAGCCATGAAATGACATTAAATTTAAATATTCATTCGCTCTAGCATCCGAAGCATAAGGTAATATATTAATATTGACATCTCCAATAATAGATATATTCTTAAATGAGGTGAGATTGGATAAAACCGAATTAAGTGACTGTAAAAAAGGATCAACATTAACATAAGATGGTGGTCTATATAATGCAAGAATTGCGGTGTCAGATCCAATTTTAACAACTAAGCAATTAGAATCAAGTATTACAGGTTCTTCAATTGTCACAGTAATATTATTCTTTATATATACAACCACTCCTTCATTCTGGCTATTGTTATTTTTAGTGGTATAACAAGAATATCCTTTTATAGGTGGGATTCTTAAAGTATTAGATAGCCAACATTCCGTCAGAATAAGCACATCGCATTCAAACTTAAGCCTGTGTAACATAGCCGAAAGTTCATCCATATTCTTATTAATACTACGAATATTTTGCGTTAAAATAGTTAAATAGTCAGAAGGACATTCGATAATGAATCTGCACTCCTCAACCTCACAAGTCATAGAATTAGAGACAGCAATATCATCTATTTCTTGATTAACCGTACTGTCCATAATTATTTTGGAAGAGAGCAAAGGAAACTGTATTTGTTATACTATAAGAACACAACACATTTTCTCCGGTAAAGAAAAGTACTATAGGGTAAATACTACTGTAAATACTGTAAATGCTACAGTGTTTTTTTAAAGAAAAGTGATCGAGTAATTTGTAGAGTATAATGTGTAAATATAATAATATTATGTATTGAG